GATCTGGGGCTCCACGCAAGATCTCACCCCGTGGGGTCAAAATGATCACAAGAACGGTGAGCAAAAATCCCAGAACCACACAGGGGGACCTAGTGAATGACCTGCAGAGAGCTGGGACCAAAGTAACAAAGCCTACCATCAGTAACACACTATGCCGCCAGGGACTCAAATCCTGCAGTGCCAGACGTGTCCCCCTGCTTAAGCCAGTACATGTCCAGGCCCGCCTGAAGTTTGCTAGAGTGCATTTGGATGATCCAGAAGAGGATTGGGAGAATGTCATATGGTCAGATGAAACCAAAATAGAACTTTTTGGTAAAAACTCAACTCGTCGTGTTTGGAGGACAAAGAACACCATACCTACTGTGAAGCATGGGGGTGGAAACATCATGCTTTGGGGCTGTTTTTCTGCAAAGGGACCAGGACGACTGATCCGTGTAAAGGAAAGAATGAATGGGGCCATGTATCGTGAGATTTTGAGTGAAAACCTCCTTCCATCAGCAAGGGCATTGAAGATGAAACGTGGCTGGGTCTTTCAGCATGACAATGATCCCAAACACACCGCCCGGGCAACGAAGGAGTGGCTTCGTAAGAAGCATTTCAAGGTCCTGGAGTGGCCTAGCCAGTCTCCAGATCTCAACCCCATAGAAAATCTTTGGAGGGAGTTGAAAGTCCGTGTTGCCCAGCGACAGCCCCAAAACATCACTGCTCTAGAGGAGATCTGCATGGAGGAATGGGCCAAAATACCAGCAACAGTGTGTGAAAACCTTGTGAAGACTTACAGAAAATGTTTGACCTGTGTCATTGCCAACAAAGGGTATATAACAAAGTATTGAGAAACTTTTGTTATTGACCAAATACTTATTTTCCACCATCATTTGCAAATAAATTCATAAAAAATCCTACAATGTGATTTTCTGGATTTTTTTTCTCATTTTGTCTGTCATAGTTGATGTGTACCTGTGATGAAAATTACAGGCCTCTCTCATCTTTTTAAGTGGGAGAACATGCACAATTGGTGGCTGACTAAATACTTTTTTTCCCCACTGTATATGTGCTTTCTTGAGCAGGGGGACCTTGCAGGCGCTGCAGGATTTCAGTCCTTCACGGCGTAGTGCATTACCAATTGTTTTCTTGGTGACTATGGTCCCAGCTGCCTTGAGATCATTGACAAGATCCTCCCGTGTAGTTTTGGGCTGATTCCTCACCATTCTCATGATCATTGCAACTCCACGAGGTGAGATCTTGCATGGAGCCCCAGGCTGAGGGAGATTGACAGTTATTTTGTGTTTCTTCCATTTGCGAATAATCGCACAAACTGTTGTCACCTTCTCACCAAGCTGCTTGGCGATGGTCTTGTAGTCCATTCCAGCCTTGTGTAGGTCTACAATCTTGTCCCTGACATCCTTGGAGAGCTCTTTGGTCTTGGCCATGGTGGAGAGTTTGGATTCTGATTGATTGATTGCTTCTGTGGACAGATGTCTTTTATACAGGTAACAAACTGAGATTAGGAGCACTCCCTTTAAGAGTGTGCTCCTAATCTCAGCTCGTTACCTGTATAAAAGACACCTGGGAGCCAGAAATCTTTCTGATTGAGAGGGGGTCAAATACTTACTCCCTCATTAAAATGCAAATCAATTTATCACATTTTTGAAATGCGTTTTTCTGGATTTTTTTGTTGTTATTCTGTCTCTCACTGTTCAAGAAAACCTGCCATTAAAATTATAGACTGATAATTTTCTTTGTCAGTGGGCAAACGTACAAAATCAGCCGGGGATCAAATACTTTTTTCCCTGACTGTATAGCAGTATACTTACCATTAACCGTACGATTGCCCCATGCTCAAAAAGATTTGGGATCCTTTTCCTGACTTGCAGTCCTGCCAATTCCAATCTAGGTGAAACATGAAAAGAACGTCCATGAATGATCTGTAAGGACCCAGGTCACTGGATGATTGGTGGCTTTGTTAACCTTTGCTGACACTAATCCTGTTCAGAGATTGACATTAAAAGCCACTTAATCATAGAGATAGAGGACTCATCTTTATATCTGTGCCTTTATAGCGTCTGTGACAGCATGAGCAGCGCCATTGAGGCTACAACCCATAGGAATCCCCACCCAGTTGACTACTTTGACTACTTTAAAATGACGGAAGCATGGTGGAAGCACTCAATGGCGCTGCCCATGCTAAAATGGCCTTTTGGCCACTAGAGAAATATATCATTCTCTATGGTCTTAATCTGTCTTCAACCTCTCCACTAGCTGAATGATGATGAGATGGACTTCATTGTATCCATCAAATCTGAGCTGAGAGATGACTGTAAATCAAATATGCCCAATACAGTGATGTAGGCTATAGTGAATCTCATGACTAATCATTAGCTCATACAAGTTTTTAAGACAGTAATAATTTATGAAGCCCTGTACATTGTTGTTAACATGGCCTCCACACAACCTCTAGAGAAATCTGAACCATACTCTTGAGCTGCCTATATGGACTGACAATAATGTAGGTTCAGTCCAGCAGTCAGTCAGTCTGGCAGTCAGTCCATATAGGCAGCTGAAGAATATGGTGCAGATTTCTCTAGAGTTTGTGAGGTAGCTCTGGGAGATCTCCAGAGCCGCAGCGATGGGAGGCAATGCCCCGTGGCTAGCCCACTGTGAACAGCCCAGATGAAGATGAATGGCTGGGGCCAGGCTGAGCCGCCTTCTCTCAGCGTCACTGGCATGACAAATGAATGTGGCACTCGAAGCGTGGCCAACATACACCTCACTCCGCCCCACAGGAGACTGGGATGAGTTACAGGCCAAGTGGAATTTTTACATTTTAGTCATTTAGCGGACGCACTTATCCAGAGCGACTTACAGGACCAATTAGGTTTAAGTGCCTTGCTCAAGGGCACATCAACAGATTTTTCACCTAGTCGGCTCTGGGATTCAAACCAGCGACGTTTTGATTACTGGCCCAACGCTCTTAACCGCTAGACTACCTGTCCTCCCACCGGTACCTGCTCTCACAGACTAATGAAGGGGAGGGCACAGTCCTGCCTTTAGCTACATCCTGCAGGGTTGAAGTGATAAAAGGCTATTCCATGTGATCTCACTTTTTTATTTGACTATTTCCCACCTGTGCTGACTTAGGGTTGTGCTTTTCTATAGCATAAATTCAGGACTCTAACACACATACGAACACACACAAACCCACACACAGGGTATACACTCAGGAGCCAGTTTATTAGGTACACCACCCCATTCACAAAAATGGAGTGGAAAAGAATTGCCTGCTCCAACGAATCCCGTTTCCTATTACGTGAAACTGATGGCAGAGTCAGGATTTGGCGTAAGCAGCATGAGTCCATGGCCCCATCCTGCCTGGTGTCAACGGTACAGGCAGGTGGTGGTGGTGTAATGATGTGGGGAAGGTTTTCCTGGCACACGTTAGGTCCCTTGATAGCAAATGAGCAACATTTTCATGCCCTGAAAAATTCAGGCTGTTCTGGAGGCAAAGGGGGATCCGACCCGGTACTAGATGGGTATACCTAATAAACTGGCCACTGACTGTATGTCAGTAAAGCTTCTTTAAACAGGAACACATTCTCAAGACAAAAGTAAGCAGTCAAAATAACAGTGAGGGATTTTAAACACATCTACCTGATCTTTATCATCTTTCTCTTTTTTAGTAATCCCTGCTGTCGGTTGAGGGGTCCGCAATATTAGGACCTGTGAAACATAATTATCATAAAAGGCCACCCGAAGATGGATGCTTGGTACCGCCCCTCTGGAGGAGTGGTAGGTAGAATGGGTGGCGGAGATGGAGAGGTCAGTCGTTGAGAATTTTAAACATCCAATGGCCCCCAGGATCACTCAGGATCCGGAGGAGAAGAGGGCGGGGAGGGACCAGGATGCTGTGATGTATGAGCGTAATCTCCACTCTCTCACTTTTTCTCTCTGGCTTTCAGAACATACACAGGGCCCCTGTGCCAAATGTACTGAAGCACCGACTCGATGAACCCCAGCAGTTAATCGCAGCAGTTCTTTCCACTCAATCAATAACTCTTTACTGTAGCTAGCTACTGTACTGTATTGAACAATATTTGTATAAATGAAGGCTTGGATATGTTTTTGGCATTTGGAGTCAGTATGTAGAGATAATAATATTGATGCTTATAGGGAAAGTTGATCTGCGCTGTTAGACAGTTGGCATCAGCAGTTGTCCTGATTAGGTAGTATGCAAAGTTGGTGTAATAAGTCTTCAATCGGCTTAGAGAAAAAAATAGCAATCAGGGCCAGGGCTGTGAGGGAGCACTTGCAGCAAAGTACTTTGCTCTTTACCGGGACTGGAAATAGTGCTATTGGGGGTAAAGATCACTGCTACCATCCTGAGAATGTAAAGTGTAATACAGTAGCACACAGGTTGATCCCTCCAGTTTTACTTTCACTTAGCTAGTAGTGCTTATAATTCATGCACTATGGCTGAGTAAAAAAACAACACCGAAATATATAAATCAGAATATTTATCTAGAATCAGATAGTCTATCTGTAACAGAAAGTTTACAAAACCAAAATAGTTGAACTCTGTTAACCCATTTCACATGTAGTTTGTTCTTTATACTATGGCAAGACATACTTCAAAAAAGTAGGATTACATTTGACCAATGTGTACTAATGATTCCCAAAACAAATAAAACTATATAAATATACAGAAATAATGAAAACTTGCCGGGGCAAACCCTCAAGCTTGAACTACTTCAAGCTTACTCAGAACAAAACACTCAAGTAAACTACGTCATCAATTTACATACTGTATACAGGCTCAACTGAGCATGTGGCAACACTTTACTTCAAGCTTCTGTCATGAGGCCTACATTATACTGCATAACAACAACATAACAGATGTCATAAACAGTTGTCAGCTGTCATGACTGTTTATGTCACCACTTTGTCATCATTATGAAGGCCTTAGGATGGAGTTTTGTAGTACAGCGCCACCTCTACATGCAGCATCAGTAGGTTCTCCCAAAGTGCTTGTTGACTTTGGCCGTGGCGATGAAGACTACCAGATTAGTGAGGAAGTACTGTCTCTGCTCTTCCAGCCACACAAGGTCCATCCTCACCTACAATAATAAAGAATACATACATTACTGTTAAATCAAATGTCCACTCACTGGTTGCTGCTCCCCATATGTGATCATTTACTTACATTAAAAGTTATGGGTGCTAATGTAAAATTTTAATATATACAGTACAGATACAACGTTTCCACTGACATGGTCCTTGTCAAGTAAACCAACCCAACCTTGCCAACAAAAAACAAACAAAAAGAAGCCTCTTCATCTATCCTCTGACGTGTGAGTCATGTGGGGTTGGTTTACCTTGCCTTCTTTATCCTGGTACTTGATCAGGAAATGCTGACCCTCGTAGTCGTCGGAGAAGGGCTCCTTGTTGTTCAGCGTCATAGACACGGGCGTGCTGACACACCAGAAGGGGTTCTGGTACTCATCCATCAGGGTCAAGCTCATCATGCAGCAGTTCTACAGAGAGAGAAAGAGACATAGAGACATAAACCATGTTTCCAAATCAAATCAATTTTTATTTGTCACGTTTCATAAACAACAGGTATAGACTAACAGTGAAATACTTACGGGTCCTTCCCAACAATGCAGAGAGAAAAAAAGTGAAATAATAGAAAATAAATCACGACAGCTGTGATGGAAACAGTAAGTTTGGATACAACTGTATAAATGCAGACAGATAATCTGTTCATTCGACATGGTGGGTAGGCTGTGCCTACCCGCACTGTATCTGAGAGCTGTTGGCTAGAGCGCATGTGCCAAGGCCAGAGTAGGCACATTTGCTATTTAACACAACAGTTTGTGACAAAACTATTGGTAGAGTTGAAAATGCGATGGAAACAAATTTAAACTTTAGATTTTTATTGGGTACATCAAAACTTAAGCAAAAAAGTACATTTTGTGTGCACTACGTCATCACACACTGAGATTTTTTATCCGCAACAAGTCAGTTTGGTAGAAACTGCAGATTTTACAATATTTGCATGAAAATCTGTCACCAATTGGATTGAAAGCTAGCGAAAGAGAGAGAAATAGAGAGACAGAGAGAGCGAGTGAGCACGAGAGACTATTTGTCAGCTGTTCTGTTATTACAATGACGCCATCATGTAGGCCTGGTGGTTCCAGTAAAGTGTAACCTAAACCAATCGGAGTCAGTGTTCCCCTACAGTACCTCCACGGTGCCCTCTAGAGCCTCACACTTCCAGGGCAGGCTGATCCTGCCAGAGAGAGGGGTGTGCTGGGACAGGCTTCCCCTGTTGATGACATTCAGCTGGATGAAACCACCATGGACCTGACCTGGACAACCACAACACACAACCAAAGTCAACTACAGATTGCGGTATGGTACAGCGGCCCAACGTGGTTCTAAAAAAAGAAACCCCCTGGGTAGTGGTTTCATTACTTTTGCTACAGTAGAGTTGAGAGAAGTGGCCGGCCATGATCTGGGTCAGAGTGTTGTGGAGTATAATGCGGAGCGTGTAACCATGGAGGCCGAAGTAAGGGTCCGCGTCGTCGAAAGGAGGCTTGTTCTCTGGCATCGAGTAGGGGCTGGGAATGAGAGAGAGAGAGAGAATGAATGACTATCTATCATGCATCCAACATCCTTTTCTGCTGAAATAGAAAAAACAGAATACAGTCAAGACAATTTGTTCAACCCTAGCCTGGTCTGGAGTCAGGTGCGCTGCATACCACATCGAGGTGCCCAGGAGACTCCTCTCCACCAGCCTGTGGTAGTGGAAGCTGGCCATCACAAAGGCAATGGACCACCGGCCCTGTAGAATGACACAGGGAAATTCCAAACATTATCATCTTTATCAGGAAACAAACTAACTTAGCCCAGCAATTTTCTTATGATATGATATAGATGACATACCCTCCAGACGCCAATGATGATGCTAGGCGAAAAGAGTATCAGGGTGACAAGTTGGTCTCTACCAATGACCTGGCCACTCTTAAAGATGGTGTCCCTGTCAAACTTAGCCATCAGAGACCGCCAGCCAGGCCTGAGGGGAGAAGAGGGGAGCAGGCATTTCACTCAGAGGCAAGAAGAGACAAGAGAGAAAGATAAAGAGAGAGACCGACACTCACTTATTGATATTAGGGGAGCTGAGAGCTTGTCTTTTGACACCATCTAGCTGTAAGGTAGAGAGCTGGTGGAAGGAGGGCCAGCGCCCGCTGCTCCAGCACACCGTCACGGACGAGTCAGAGAAGTAGGCACGGCTCTGCTCAAACGTCCCCTCCAACCCCCACTTGTCAGACACTGTGATCTCCCAGGTCACACGCTGGCTCCTGAGGCAGGGGAGAGGAGAACAAAATGCATTAAAGTAACTATGTAAACATAGTTGCGGACAATTTAATTGAATCTGGACCAATGAGTAGGTTCTGACAATATTACAGTAGCATTGGAGCCTCCGTTTGTGTGTGCCCTATAAATTGTATGTTTTATACATGGGCCTTAACAACAGAGGCAGTACAACTTTAGCACTGACTGCAGAAACTGTCTAACCTGAGGACTCTTTCAGTCTGACTGGGCAGGCCTGTGAAAGGGTTGATGTCTCTCAACTCCTTCCTCCACTTGGTCTCGTTGAAGCCAGCCATGGTCCTGAAGTACAGTCTTCTCCAGTAGCCCTCTGGTCTCTCCTGGACCACCACCGCACTCAGCTTATCCAGCACCTGGTGGGGGAAAACACCAATAATAATACAAAAAGTACTGTGCATACAAGCATATAATGCTCATGTCCTTGGTGTGATATGTAAAAAAAGAGTGTTATGAAATATGAATTGCACTGAACCTCATCCAAACGCTTGGGCCTCCACTTCTTACTGTGTCCAAACTCTGCAGAGTACATCTTGTGCCACATTCCACTGCAAGAAAAAAATGTGGGTCAAAAATGATCACGTAAAACCAGTCTGTAAGACCGTAGGGAGGAAGAATAGCCTACAATGTGACCAGTACTTCACTCCTTACTTGTTGTGGGCCATCTCATAGAATCGCTTGTTGATGAAGCCGATGGAGAAGAGAGAGAGGGCATCCAGGTACGACAGGATCTTCAGAAGGATCTCCGGTGGCATCCTAATAAAACACCAATTAGACATGATTCAAACATTTATTAGAATGCTCGATATTTCCCATCTAGTGCAAACACAATTGAGTAAGTAATCAGATTGCAGGGCATGGAACCAGTAACATATGCAACCCCTTTATCAGTGTCAAGTGGGTACCACAGCAACCCACTTTTACCTCTCTATGTGATTCGCGGTACACTCAGCTGGCTTGGCAGCATGTCCAGTAGACTTTGGAGGTCCCCTTGGCAGTGGTACAACTGGCTGACAGGGTACACTGGCCTTTGCTGCCTTCTTTTTCCTCTTCTTCTTTTGTGGCAGTGGTGCTGGTTCCACACTTGTAGTCAAGCATAGAAAAAGACAGAGATGCAACACAATTTTGAAATTAGCAAAAGTCAACAAAAGTTGAAGTTAGCTAGCTACAAGCCGGCTTTTTGGTGTTCAGTGCACACTGTGCAACAGGAGTTGATGACATCCCACAACTCCTACCTTTGAGTGCCCGGGGAAAATCCAGTCATTTTCTCGCAGAGTCTGCTGTTCTCTTTGCCTGTCGGTCCTCGACCCTCTGTTGGCTGGGCATTCTTCAACAAACCCTCTCTGAAACTGCGGAAAAGTTGTCCACGGCCAATAGCCATAGCTAGCTAGCTAGCTAGCTAGCTAGTTACCTACAACAGGAGAAGCTACAGATGCTGTCAAGTTCAAGTTGTGAGAAAGCTCTGTCTAACTAGGCACACTTTGCAAACCTGTAATGACACTACTCAAACAAGCCCTTTGGTTTCAAGTCTGCAAAAGCGCAGAGAATTGCAATTTCTACGTTCCCCCAACACGTGAGTGTTTGTTATTGTTGTTATCAAATTTAAATGTCCCTCTTTCGCGGGTGATAAGGTCTGCAAATGGTGAAGTAAAGACCACTGCTGCCATCCAGAGGATATAAAGTGTAAAAGTAGGCAGTGAAGCTGATCCCTTCAGTAGGTCTTCCCTTTTATCTGTGGTAGCAAGGCAATGCTGCAAAATCCATATTCAATTATGTTATTATAATTTTAATTCATGCAATATGGGTTAGAAATAATTTGTCATTCAGGTTACTGAGATATAAAAGGGAAATCACAAACATATCAGCCTAACGAGTCCACTGGTTCCACTCACACAGAACTACCCTACGCCTTGTCCTATTTCTCCCCTCTCTCTCCAGATGAAATCCTGCGACTGGTGAGGTCCGGCTACCCGACAACCTGCCTGCTCGACCCCATCCCCTCCTCCCTTTTCCAGACCATCTCTGGAGACCTTCTTCCATTCCTCACTTCCCTCATAAACTCATCCCTGATCACCGGCTGCGTCGCCACTGATTTCAAAATGGCCAAAGTTGCTCCCCTCCTCAAGAAACCAACACTCGACCCCTCTGACGTCAAAAACTACAAACCGGTATCCCTTCTTTCTTTTCATTCCAAAACACTTTAGCGTGCTGTCTCTGACCAACTCTCTCGCATTCTCTCTCAGAACGATCTTCTTGACCCTAACCAGTCAGGCTTCAAGATGGGTCACTCAACCGAGACTGCTCTCCTCTGTGTCACGGAGGATCTCCGCACTGCCAAAGCTGACTCTCTCTCCTCTGTTCTCATCCTCCTAGATCTATCAGAACCATCAGAACCTCCTCTCCACCCTCTCAGGGCTGGGTGTCTCAGGCTCTGCACACTCTTGGATTGCATCCTACCTGGCAGGACGCTCCTACCAGGTGATGTGGATAGGATCTGTATCTGCACCACATAGTATCACTACTGGTGTCCCCCAGGACTCGGTTCTAGGCCCTCTCCTCTTTTCACTATACACCAAGTCACTCGGCTCTGTCATATCCTCACATGGTCTCTCCTATCATTGCAATGCGGATGACACTTAATTACTTTTCTCCTTTCCCCCTTCTGACATCCAGGTGGCGACACGCGTCTCTTCGTGCTTGGCAGATATCTCAGCTTGGATGTTGGCTCTCCACCTCAAGCTCATCCTCAACAAGACAGAGCTGCTTTTCCTCCACCTGGTGTTCAATCTTCCCAAGTTCTCCGGTCATCAGGACTGGTCATTCAACTGAGACTGCTCTTCTCTGTGTCACGGAGACTCTCCGCACTGCTAAAGCTAACTCTCTCTCCTCTGCTCTTGTCCTTCTAGACCTGTCTGCTGCCTTTGATACTGTGAACCATCAGATCCTCCTCTCCACCCTCTCCGAGCTGGGCATCTCCGGCGCGGCTCACTCCTGGATTGCGTCCTACCTGACCGGTCGCTCCTACCAAGTGGCGTGGCGAGAAGCTGTCTCCGCACCACGTGCTCTCACCACTGGTGTCCCCCAGGGCTCAGTTCTAGGCCCTCTCCTATTCTCCCTATACACCAAGTCACTTGGCTCTGTCATATCCTCACATGGCCTCTCCTATCATTGCTACGCTGACGATACACAACTAATCTTCTCCTTTCCCCCTTCTGATAACCAGGTGGCGAATCGCATCTCTGCATGTCTGGCAGACATATCAGTATGGATGACGGATCACCACCTCAAGCTGAACCTTGGCAAGACGGAGCTGCTCGTCCTCCCGGGGAAGGACTGCCCGTTCCATGATCTCGCCATCACGGTTGACAACTCCGTTGTGTCCTCCTCCCAGAGTGCGAAGAGCCTTGGCGTGACCCTGGACAACACCCTGTCATTCTCCGCTAACATCAAGGCGGTGACCCGATCCTGCAGGTTCATGCTCTACAACATTCGGAGAGTACGACCCTGCCTTACACAGGAAGCGGCACAGGTCCTAATCCAGGCACTTGTCATCTCCCGTCTGGATTACTGCAACTCGCTGTTGGCTGGGCTCCCTGCCTGTGCCATTAAACCCCTACAACTCATCCAGAATGCCGCAGCCCGTCTGGTGTTCAACCTTCCCAAGTTCTCTCACGTCACCCCGCTCCTCCGCACACTCCACTGGCTTCCAGTTGAAGCTCGCATCTGTTACAAGACCATGGTGCTTGCCTATGGAGCTGTGAGGGGAACGGCACCTCTGTACCTTCAGGCTCTGATCAGTCCCTACACCCAAACGAGGGCGTTGCGTTCATCCACCTCTGGCCTGCTGGCTCCCCTTCCTCTGCGGAAGCATAGTTCCCGCTCAGCCCAGTCAAAACTGTTCGCTGCTCTGGCACCCCAATGGTGGAACAAGCTCCCTCACGATGCCAGGACAGCGGAGTCACTCACCACCTTCCGGAGACATTTGAAACCCCACCTCTTTAAGGAATACCTGGGATAGGATAAAGTAATCCTTCTACCCCCCCCCCCCCCTAAAAAAAAAAAAAAAAAAGTGTAAAGTGGTTATCCCACTGGCTATAGGGTGAATGCACCAACTTGTAAGTCGCTCTGGATAAGAGCGTCTGCTAAATGACGTAAATGTAAAATGTAAATGTTCTCCCATGTCACACCACTCCTCCGAACACTCCACTGGCTTCCAGTCGAAGCTCGCATCCACTACAAGACCATGGTACTTGCCTATGGAGCAGCAAGAGGAACTGCCCCTCCCTACCTTGAGGCTATGCTCAAACCTTACACCCCAACCCGAGTACTCCGTTCTGCCACCTCTGGTCTCTTGGCCCTCCCACCCCTACTGGAGGGCAGCTCCCGCTCAGCCAGGTCAAAGCGCTTCTCTGTCCTGGCACCCCAGTGGTGGAACCAGCTTCTCACTGGAACTAGGACAGCAGAGTCCCTGCCCATCTTCCTGCCCATTGACCCCCGTAAACTAACACTCACACTTGACTTTTCCCCCCCAACTAGCACTGACTTTGCTGATAGCTACTTTATTGCCTGAGATATGTGGTTGTCCCAACTGGCTATCTTAAGATGAATGCACTAACTGTAAGTCGCTCTGGATAAGAGCGTCTGCTAAATGACTAAAATATAAATATACACCAAATCCAAATACAATATTCTACAAAATATCAAATTTATTTTTGATAAAAAATGTCTTTTTTTTTGCACATGCACACACACCATTAATATTGTCCAATGATTTCAATTTTTTTCTCTTTGATTCACAGAGCAAGCACATAACCGCAGACTTAAACATCTTATCTTGAGGACACCATGGAGAATGCTTGTACTGTTTACATTAAGAAGAAATCTCAATGCACTAAAAAAGGCAGTCTGAAAATCAAGTATAAACATTTAGAAATTATCTATAAATGGAGAAAAGTACAAAAGAGCAACAGGATAGACACTACACCCATTTACAAATGAATGATTTGGTGTTATGACTAACACCTTTTGACGAATGGATGCATAACGTTGGACAAATAATAAAATTGCCCGCTGAACATTTCATACATTCCTTTTTGGCAATCCATCATTTGATTTTCTCTCTTTTTTAATAAACATAGAAGAACCATGTAATCATTATACAGCAGGATATTACGCTTGACTCAGATATCTTAACTGATGGGCATTTACAGAACCTGTCTGATAGGTGTCTGTCTGACTTGCTTTCTCTCTCAGTACAACTCAAACATCTCCCCCTGTCAGAATAAAACACTGTCATTTTTTGAGTCATGGATTGACATATTGTCCATTATGATTATGTCCATCAAATTGTGGCTGTACAGCAACTGAAGTGATGTTAAACTATTACAGAATAGGATCATGGTTTATGAAAATGGGTTAATATAGGGCTCTGAAAGGTGTCAAACGTTTGCTAAAGGCTATGACAGCCTCTCCAGTTAATGGATCAGCTGGATGCATCCTAGCACTCATTTATCCCATAAGCCACATGACTACTGGTTTAGAGGTTGTAGGTACAGTATGTCGGTCATCCATCCGTTTCCCTTGACTTCAAAAATAGCCACAAGGTCTATAAGAGTGTAAACAAGTAAACGGTGCAGAATCTTGAGCACACCTAGACATCTTTACTGAAATGGCTGAGCGGGTAACAGAACTGAATATCACACCGGCAATGTAGTTGGCAGCACACCACTAAGATCACATGACTCAACTACTTGTCCTCTTTAAAAATAAAAAAAAGGATGCACAGACATGAATGCACACTGAGTACACAAACTCACACACATTGCCTACACCCTCAACACATCCATACACACCGAGAACTACTGCTTTTCCATTCATCAGACAAAACACACACCTTTGTGCAATTGGAAGGCAAACACAGAAGGTTGTCTTTAACTAGGCGTTTCATGACAGTTGGACAGCAATGAAACAAACAAACATCTATTTTTGATTTTTATCAAACAAAGCTGCAGAGATGCACTAGGGGTTCTTGGCAAAGACTGGTGTAAGTCTAAAAACAGCCTTGTTCAACCATAGAAAATGAGGAAAGTTATGCTAGAATTGCTTTCATAAAGGCCACTGAGATGGTTCAAACGTCTTATCCAATGTAGCTCCCTCTCCTTGCTGTAATGCCCTGTGGCCAACCACCCTATAGACTTCTAGGTTCTGTGAGTGATTCAACCCTTTGTCACCGTCCTGTCTGTGATATATTGCACTGTTTAAAGCCTCTGTATTAGCAGCCAGCATTACTGACAGAATGCCATCAATAGTTGAATTGTTGCTCCAGTGTTTCAGGAGTATGGTCTGTCTCCTAGTATTGACATCTCACTATCACAACATTGATGTTTTTTGCCACGTCATGTCTGTTAGAACTTATAATTGCACAATTGCTATGGAAACCATCTAGAAACGTAAGATTTGTAACAAAAAATAATAGGCTACTCTTATGTTACCCTGCTTGAAACAAATGCACACAAATGCCTTATCAGCATCGTTCTGATCTCCATTTGATTAAAGAAAACAGCGGTAATGAAAATCCATGTCATGAAAATCCTAGTTTGTACTCCTTTTTTTTTCTCCACCTCAAATATATCACAGTTATACAGTATGTGTGAGCAAAGGTCTCATTGAATTTGGCACGAAGTACATGTAAGTATGTGTATTAATCATTAGAACATGTTGTATCACTGAATATATTAGATTAGGCTCACATATATTGTCCTGTAATACATACGCACACATGTTGCCATTGTAGTTGTGTGCCGTACGATCGGCTGATTTGATTGCATGTACTGTATGCGATGTACAGTGCTGGGCCCAGTATCTGTTCTGGGGTCAGCTGGGAACAGTTTATTTAACCGGAGAGAGTCTCTTGAGCAGTTTCTTCCCCTTGGAGAGCAGTCCTTTTTTCTTTTTGTTGTCTCGGAGGTCCCTGGGGCCCCTGGTGGGGCTGATGGGCCGCATGGTGCCTGGGGGACACAGGGGACCCACCATGGGGGATGCCACTCGGACAGGCGGGGCCGTGCTCTCTGTGGTATCCGTGGTTACCTGAAGAAAGATGCCATGGAGGGTGGTGGGGGGTAGGGGCAGGGCATTACAAAGAAAGCAGTGGTCCACTGTGGCCTACGCTCTCTCTGTCTGAGGTAGGACTAGTACACACAGTCTACAGTCAGCATTGTGTCCCTCAATAACACTGTATCACCCCGCTGTCACCTGAGTAGCCCTATCCATCTATAGTAACGCTATATATCCAATGGGACTTTAAAATACTTTTGGTTTAAATAGAGTGAAGGGTTGGGTATGCCAAATATTTCCAGTCTAATTACATTTCCAACAATATTTGAATTTGATATGTTATGTGTGCTGACCTTGAGACTTCTCAGCATTAGCTGTCAATATAGGCAAGTATGCAAACATAACTCTGTATAATAAAGAGAACAATGGCAATGCAGGCCATTATACTTACTGTAGGTTTTCCACTAAATGTGTGTCAAATACCTATGTAACGTTTATGTTTCAAATAGGGCTGGTTTCCCGGACAAGGATTTAGCCTCACCCTGGACTAAAACACATGCTCAATGAAAATTCGCCATTGGAATAGGTTTTTAGTTCAGGACTAGTGTCTGGGAAACCAGCCCATAATGTTTATAAAAGTGGTTCAGAATAAGGATGAGGTATTGCCTTTTGGGCTATTATTGAAACCATTCATTATACCTCCCTGTCGGGACTGAAGACATTGGTGGCGCTGCTGAGGTTTCACACATACAAACACTGAGGAGGAAGCCATCAAACATCGAGCACGACATCGCAACACCACAGATTCTGATAGGTCCATCGATCATGAGGGACACACACACAGTAATATACAACACTCAGGGAGACAACTGTAGATACCATCCCTCTTGCCTAATGCACTGGGCTGGCAACATAACAAAGTATGGTATGCTATCATATAGTTAATCTAGGACCTTTAAAATGGTCTCACAAAGTTAAAGAGGAATCATAACTTTGAATCAAATGGGGATTTGCAGCTCCCATTAGTAATGGTTTATCAACAACTACAGATATAGGGAACTTTTAAGTTTGCAAAATAGAGCACTATCTCACCGATAAGTAGTAGTCCACTACTTTGCAAGCATTAAATCACTCCAATAAATTGTTACAAAAGATAACTTTGTAACAATGTCTAATTTATGCTGGAAATTAGCCTTCTGGTTACACTAAAAAGTAAGGGGAAGCACTTTCCTCATTACGCCAACTAGTATGTAAAACTTTAATGTGCAAGCATGAATAACCATAACCTATAAACTTGTGAATGTGTAAGCAGAATGTTTACTGGCTACAAATAAACCATTTAACATAAGTGTAATCACAATGCCCAGCATTAGATCTGTCAGACTGGTATCTCTAGTTGCTCACATACTGTACAAGGCAGACAGAGCCATTTATGATGTGAAATGAACAATCTTCTTCTGTTTGTATTTGCCAAGCAGGTGAGGAAAAAAAGGAAATCAGATATGGTGACATTTCATTTTTAGTACAACCCACACCACGACTATGAGAACAGAAAAGAAAAATAACAATACTCACATGACCACAGGTCGCAAATGAAAATTATTGCTGCTTTTATTGTTCCATGGTACCATTACAGTATGGATGTCTCACTGTGGCTGTTTATTCTTCTGGTTTAGATCAAACATGGCATATATATCAACTTTCATCAGTCCTGAAAAATATATATTTTTTGGAAGTGTGTTCAGTATACAAAAAGAAACAAAGCCTCTCCCAGGAAATACAGCAGTTGGGCCAATAAAGTCTACTATTATATAAAAGGTATCGAGTTTATTTTTGAAAAAGGCATGCTTTGCTATATTATCAACCCTACAGTTTACTCAAATCCTTTCTGTCCATTGGGAAACAACTGTTAGAAATCAGGAACGTTTCAGAGGTGTTCATAAAGCACTTATTAATAGACACAAGATCCAGAGTTGGGTTTTGTGTTTCAGTGCAAAGAGGTTACCCAATGATCCTTCTATATTCCTGTGTAGGAATGACTTTAGCCTTTTTCAAAATCTCCACTCTCTTTTGTCACTGGTCTGTGAATATCACCTGCCCCGTACAGACACAGTTCAAGTGTTCTATCTCTCTGTCAACATCAGGCTTTGCTTCTTCCTTTCTAACACTCAGAAAGGTTTGACTGCGTTTGTCCCTTTCGCCGGCCGGGGCTAAGGTTTGTATAGTCACCACTGTCACTGTCACACATGGACAACACACACACACAGAACACAGACGGCAAGTGGAGAAAGCGAGGCGTAAATCAAGAGAGACGGAGGATGGATGGACAGAGGGCCTAGCGCTGAGAGCGGCGATGTACCCTTTTGGCCTCGGCCCGGTTGGCTGTCTCGTCCTGGGCGTAGCGGGATGGAGTGTCCGTCAGGTACACCTCCACGTCATCAGGCACTTCTTCCAGAAAGTTGGAGGGGACGAGGCCGCGGTGGCCATTGATTTCACCCTGCAGTGAGAGGAGAGGAGGGGGCAGTGGGGATGAGAACCATGACTAGACGCATTGAACTCTGGTGGTCAAACCTGAGGGAAAGAGCCCTCTCCTGGGCAAGAGGACATACTATGTGTATGAGCAGGCTGTTGATCCAATGGTATTTCTTTAAAATGCAGAACTAAAACATCTCTGACTTTTACAACCTTTGAATTGCCCTTTGTAATAATACTACTAGTCACATCATGGAACCTAGAAAAGAGCCATACTCACATAGTAGAATCCATCTTCATCAATCTCTCCAAATACAGCGATGATGTCACCAGCACAGAAAGTCAACTCAGCCTATCAGGAAACAGAGACGTCATTAATATCCTTACAATGTCTGTCTATCTGGTTACAGTGTGTGTATGTATGTACAGTGTGTGTGTGTGTGTCAATACCGCCACATCCACGTTAGGGGAGCTCTCTCTGGGGTCATAATCGTAGAGGGCCACCATCCTCCTGGTGGCCTGGTGCTGGCGGAGGCCTCGTCTGTCCTGCCCTGTGAGAGGAAACAAGAGGGCACGCCAGGATAAGAGGTGATATAGTGACAGATGTATGTGTGGTGTCCTAGGGAGATATGAATGGGTACAGTCAAAATGGCTACCAGTCCACCCGTTATGGAATCATTGACTTGAATGAGGATGTCTATTCTACTCCTTCTAGTTCTGTGGTTACCTATTCCTACTTTATCCACTGGTGTGTTGAGCGGGAGGAAGCCCTGCTTGATGAGCTGGTCCATGGTCTCCTCATCCTCAGCCCTGATCTCTGACACCATGTTGCAGGGCAGGAGCCCCATCCTGCCTCCCCTGATCTCCCCTCGGTAGAAACCATCTGTGTCCTTATCACCATATACCTGGAACACAGAGAGAGAGAGCGAGAGACAGAAAGCAAGGGAGAGTGAGAGGGGAGGGAGAGAGAAAAATGGAACAAGAAAAGAGTAATTGAAAGCAAAACGAAACAGACGGCAGAGGGATGGAAGGAAAAGTCTATTTCTATATTGTACCTCAAGCACAATACATCTCCTGGTATGGCCTAGCCCTGTGTGTGACACCCACCCTGATGATCTGGCCCTCTTTAAAGGGCAGTTCCTCATCTGCTGCGTCCGGGTTGGGAGACATCGACAGGGGGTCATAGTCAAACAGAGCCACAAAGATCCGGAACGATTCTTCAGGTTCCGACTCATCGTAGTTAGGAGGGGAGCGACGTTCCCGGTCCCTGTATCCCTCTTAAACACGGGAGAGAAAGAGAACACATCCACCTGCATCTCAATTTAGGTCCACTAGGATCGACTACAGATGTAATGGGTCACAGTCTATGGCATTATTTTACTCTGACATCAAGTTACATTGATCCTAGATTCATATCTATAACATGAAAGAAACATTTTTTTTTGCTGAATTTGGCCACTCAGTAGCACTGGTGTGTAGTAGTGAGGCATGTTGCGCATGCTGTTGTTCATGGAATGGAAGAAGGGAAGAGGCATGTACAGACAGGTGTGTTGTTTACAAGTGATTTACAAGTGAGAGAGCCAAACCATGAAGGTGACTATACAGTCCTACATAATGTATTGAACTTGCCTCATCAAACCAACACTTAATTCTGTAGTGTGCAAGCAGAATTCTGTGGTCAATCCATCAATTGGTCACATTATCAGCACAGAGACAAGAGTAAATAATGTAATAATGTAATGTACATCCATTTGACACCACATATGAGCTTATGGCCTTATCAGGTTACAGATGGATAGAGATTGTAGAGCAAGCCAGACATGATGGGTTACACAAACACACTATGATACACACACACACACAGAAACAAGCACATTTACTACAATACTCTGAGTTAAGCATGCATACTGCTGAACCCTGAGGTAGTGGCACTGATTTGACTATTGTATTAGGCTCCACTAAAGTACGGTGGGCCTACAGTTTGTCCAAAGAAAACTCTGCCTGTCCTTTAGTTGACCCCTTGCTTAGAAATGATAAAATAAGATCAAGCCATCAGCATAGTAAACAAATGAAAGCCCAAACAAACAAATTAGTATGTATTTCTATGTAAGATGTAGTAGGATCATTTTAGTACAACTTTCTGTAACAGTCATTGAGTTTGCTCAGCAAGGACAACCATGCTATATAATTCCTCAAAGACCCTGACTCCTTCCACCCAGTCATGCATAGCAACCCCAGTAAAGGTGTGGTGGGTGTGGTTAGATTGAGAGGGGGAAGGGTTTAGCAGGCATCTGATGGAGTTCAGTGCAAGGGAGGGAGGGGAGAAGCATTCTCTGAGCAGCAGTCATTCCAATCCACAACAGTGGGCAGCCATCTTGGGCCCAGTGTGGCTCAGCGAGCTGCTATATTGGTGCAGTGTAGTGGATCATGCTAGGTGTTCTGAGACATGTTAAGGCACTCGTTGGTGTCACTACTCTTCTCTCCACTAGCACTGGTGGCTTTTGGCTGTGCTTTGGTGAAGGAGCGAGGGAGAAACTGCAGCATTACCATTATAGGGAGGCTTGGCACCTGTGGGGCATCGGCGGGGCGACCACGTCCTGTGCCGTGCTACACTGCCATAGTAAACATCCTCCGTGACGGGGGTGAGGTTCCCATCACTGTTACTCTCTGTGGTTATCTCTACAGGAAACACCAATCAGACGATGGTGGTTAAAGCGCGCAGGCTACTCATTGGTTGGTTGGTTTGGAGGTCTATTCCTGGCATAACCTTTGATAATCCTAACATATCGCTGGCCATAAACAGAGAGATCAAAAGCAGTTTTTAATCATTGGAATATTGATCTACATTTGATATTGTGAAATATGCGTCTGTGTACCTAGTCACCGTAGCAGCCAGGGAACTTTCTAGTAGCTGATAATACTGTACATTGACTGATGTCTATAAGTAAGCTGTCAGTACTGTGAAGGCATGAGCATGGTTCAAAGACACAGAGGTGATCTGTACACAGAGAAGCTCATGGTGGATTAAAACAGAAAGCAGAACATCTACTAGGGCACAGAGAACATCAAAGCACAAAAACACTACGACTCCCAGAGTCCTCTCTGGGGTCATGTGACCCGACTGACCAATGGAGGGCACCATAAGAGGGCGTCTCTGGGGCTGCGGACCGTCCCTGGGTGTTCTTCTCCCCGTCTCCCGATCCAGCCGACCCCCAGAGCGGGTGTTCCCAATCTTAAAAAGATCACACATAAAAAAAACGTCTCAATATTCCCACAACTAACAAAATTGACTTCCAATGACATTGCTCCAAATAAATGAGAATGTGAAGGTCAACCAATCAAACAAGACAGAGGAAGTATCCTGCTGTAGACACATGGCTGGACACAGGAGCCATATCATCCAACAGTGATAAAGGGGTTTGCATGCTTGCTTGTTTCCATTGCACGAGTGGTAATCAGAACCAAATCAGTTACTCAATTTCAAAATGTAACATTTCAATGTTAAGCTTTGATGAGAGACTATATGAGTGGTATTCCTACCTTTAGTGCATTGTGGGAGTTGCGTCGTCGTCCCTCCTCCAGCTGCATCTCAGAGTAGAGCTCCTCCTCATCCTCCTCCATGATGTCAGAAAGGTCAGAGCCCCGGCTGCTATCACTGTGGTACTCCTCACTGTGGCTGTAGTGGGCCTGACAGACACACACACACAATCACACACACACACACACACACACGCACGCACGCACACACACACACACACAAAGGTGTGAAATCATACTAGGATATCCAGCACCTGGACAAAACCTTTTTTATTCTGTCTTACCAGCCTGCCCAGCTCGGACCCTCTGAGGAACTCATCTACTGAGGCCCCCTGTCTCCTGCGGCTGCGACCATACCCTTCCTCATCCTCCTCTTCCTCGTCTGAGTTCTGTTGGTGGAAGGCCTGGCCCTGCTCATTGTAGACGACTCTCCTCTCCATCTAACCCAACCCATAGGCAGATATTTGTAACTTAATTCAACAGACAAATTATCAGACTAGAGCTTTAACCAGGGCATCATTGATTGGCTTTATGTATGAATGACTCACTCTGCCACTCTCTGCAGCCACCCTCTGTGCTGCCTCGCGGGCGATGGCTTTGGCCATTTGGTCTGGGATGGGGGTGCCCCTGGGCTGGGGCAGGATCCTCTGGGGGGAGGGCGAGCGGTGGTTGGCAGAGAGGGGCGCCTCCAGGTTGTGCCCGTGCATGGGGGCAGGAGGAGGCTGGGCGGAGGGGGAGCAGGCAGGGTCCCAGGGCTGGCTGGGGACGCCCCCAAGGTGGACCACCTGCTCTTTGGCTTCCAGGTCTCTGGCACTTACTGGTCTCTGGTGGAGCTGGGGGGGCGGGTGGGGCAGCAGGGGTAGGCGGTGCTGGGGCATTGTGTGGGGCGGATGAGGCTGGAGGTGCAGAGGCTGGGGCTGTGGGGGACCACCAGGGTGAGCGGGGTGAGGCTGTCGGTGAGGCTGGGGGACGGGATGAGGGGGCAGGGTTTGGAGGTGTGGCTGGGGCTGAGGACTGTGGTTAGGGAAGGGTTGTCTGTGAGGCAGGGGTGAGGGTGGCTGGGGGTGAGGCGGGGGTAGTTGGGGGTGGGGGAGGTGAGGCGACTGGAGATGGGGTGGGGGGGCCGTGGGGGTGAGGTGGAGGGTGCCCTGCGTGTGGGTGTGGAAGGGACAGGGGGGCAGGATGAGGAGGAGGCAACAGTAGGTTGCTTGGAATGGGGGCAATGTGGGAGTCCTGGGACTCTCCCTGTGCTGATAACGTCCTGACGATGACCTCCCTGGCCTCCAGACACTGGATCCTGTTCAGCTCCACTGTCACATAGTCAGCCAGAGGGTACAACACTTCCGCTATCTGAGAGGAAACACAACACACATACCTCGGGTTGGACACTGTTGACATTCAATTCATTGTTGTGTTCCTTTCAACTGCTTTCCAATGGCATTGCTCTTAAATTCAGAGAAATGTCCACTAGTATTGACAGTTTGCCTAACACAGACCCTGTGCAACTCTACAAAAAGAGGATGTCCATTTTAATTCCATGTTCACCAGCAGAGGGAGTGAGTGTGCTTTGTAGGGTTTTCACAGGCCCTTGTATATAGCGAATACTAGCACTGACAGTGAGAGCTGTCTAGGTAGCACTGCTGAGCACTAAAGCCAGCGGTGATGCAATGACACAATTACACACACATATCACATACTCTGACACTCTGTAGTTCACTCACTCTCAAATACTTCGTTGTCACTTGGGGTATACCCTTACTCACCTTCTGTCCTTTGGCACACAGTTACTGACTCACCCTCTGTCCTTTAGTGCAGACTGCGTATCCGATGACGCTGGCTCCATTGGAGGTTCCAGTGGGTGAGAGGATAGGGGGCTTCCAGCGCACCTGCAGGACCCCCGGGGCATGGCCACACTGCACCTGCACCTCCTGAGGGGGTAATGGGGGGCCTGGAGGGGGGATCGACACATTAGATACTACCTAAATAGGTTATACACACACAAACAGGGAAGGAGTGGAGGTGAGTGGAGCATTCATGAGTGCTGTTAACTTGTTTCATCTCTTTTTTGTTGTGAAATTACATGATTGCGACAAGTCTGTGATATACAAATCTCCCTTTCCCTTTTCCACTGTTGGTTGCATACACCTCAGCAATCACCATGTAATATCCGCTCAAATTTGTGTCTATTATTTTTAGAGTGAGTCTTAAATGCATGAAACGTCTTCTCTGATTAATATCAAACTCTTTAGCTTTGTAATCAGTCTAATCACAGTCTAATGTATTTATCCATATAGTATTTGAAAGCTATTTGGAATGTTGTTTGCCATGTATTGTATGATGAAAGAGTGAAAGTAGATGGCTGAAAGGAACAAAGGGAGGCCCAAGGCCACCTGAAACCATTACTGTGTGTGTGTGTGTGTGTGTGTGTGTGTGTGTGAATGTGCTTATGTGGTGTGTGTCCGTCTGTATAGTCTGTCTATGTGTGTGTGTGTGTGTGTGTGTGTGTGTGTGTGTGTGTGTGTCTTGTGTATGAAAGGCGTCAGTGTGAGTTGAATGAGTACAGCCTGTTCTTTCCTGGTTCACTAGGTACATCATGCAGGACATCACAGTGATGTCACCACTCAGGCAGAGGGAAATGCACACGGATACTGATGTGGTAATTTCAGTGAAGGATAGAGTGGGTGGGAGTTACTTCAGAAGCTTTAGGATGCATCCCAAATGGCACCCCATTTCCTATATAGTCAACTACTTTTGACCAAGGCTCTGTTCAAAAGTAGTGCACTATATAAGGAATATGGTGCCATTTGGGATGTAACTTTCATCTATAATGTATATTAGCATTGAGCCAAAGGGAGGGAAAAGCTGAGGAAGTTACTCATGATAGTTTCTTAGGTTTTAAAGTGCTGTTAGCTTGTTTTCATTCAATGTGTCAGTTGCTCATGCCAATCAAAAGCTACTTCCTACTTTTCCCAAAACCACCATAACCCAACTGGTCTTCATTCTGACCTGATCTGGAATATGGTCCTGGACCTGGACAAAACATAACAGACATACATAGCACGGGTAAGGACACGAGTCATCTATATATCTTACCTTAACGGTCTATGTCTAACAAATAACCCAATGGACTTTTATCCAAACTTTCTATAAAACATTATAGATGACAGAAGAACAAATATATGTATGTGGGCAACAGAAACACTTAGACTTAATAAAAGAGCAAACCGGGCCTCACCAGCAGCTTGTGTGCAGAACTCCACAGCAGCCTCCTTCTTCTCCCTCTGCTCCATGAGCAGTTGCCATGGCACCTGGTGTGGCCGGGCCACCACCCTCACCTTGTATACTGTCATGGCCTTGAGGTTAACAAAGCGCAGCCTGTACCTCCCCGGCTTCACCACCGCATGCTCCGCCCCGTCCAGGAACACTGTGTGCCCATAGTTACTGTTGCTGGGCAACCAGGAGAGCTCGGCTGAGTCGCGCAGGATGTCGTCCACACGCAGTCTGTACGGCGCCACCACCACGTTGGCTCCCACCATCAGGGTGCAGCGCAGCTCGTCCGACAGGCCCCTGTCTGTCACACTCTGTACGGACACGCGGTGCGTATAGGTGTCCAGATCCAGCTTCTCCAACAACGACTTGGTCCTGCCGCCGTAGGGTACGCTGGCACGCACCTCGCCATCCACCAGCACGTTGTAGCAGCTGATGTTTCCCCAGCCCAGAGGCACCATGGGTGTCTCCCAGGCCACAATGACGCTACGGGCCAACTGCTTGATCAGGGTGATCTTCCGGGGGTAAGGCACAATGTCATCGACCAGATCCTCAGGGTCCAGGGGCCCTGTGCCGTTGCTGCAGGGGCCCAGGGGGTTGGTGGAACCCAGTAGCCCATCCTGAGGGGCCCCTCCATCCACCCCCATCAGGCCAAGGGGGGTATGGTCCAGAGAGCCCAGGTCTTCCTCTATGTCCCCTGGCTGGAGGGATGGTTTCTCCTTGTCTTGGACAAACTCCACAAAGTTGGACGGGACCAGCCCTCGCTGGCCGTCCAGTAGCTCCCCTGGAGCACACAGAGACAGACAGAGAGAGATACTTACTTTATTATCAACAAAATACAAACCCACAACCCTCTCTCTTCTGCAAATTCCTCTACAAATCTTGTCCCCAAACATGTTATTCCATGAAAAAGTACCTTTAGTATGTATAAAGGAATGTATATTTATATGGCAATGAAGTATGTAAAGAAGGTATCAAAAGAGTTAAGCAGAATATGGATATTTCTGTAATGTAATACCACTCAGGATTCGCTGGCTGTGAAGATTTAATTGCGTGATTATTCAGTCAGACACAGTAACACCTTCCAGGAACCCTGTTCTGTTCTGTTCTGACACACAGTAGCCTGACGATAGACACCATTCACACATGGCCGTCTCAGGGGGAATCTATGGCACGCTCAAGCCTTTAATGATGCCTGCTGCAAATGTTAACATCAGCTAAAAATAGACCATCTCATTAGTGAAAAAAGAGAAAGGAAAATAATAACGAGAGCTCTCGTGACTCAATGGAAGTGTGATCTATTTTCCCAGGACGACATGAGTGGGAAGAGAGACCCTGTGGTGCTGGTAGGGACTGTTCTCTCGGATCAGACAGAGAAGGAAGGATAGGGTTATAATGCCATCATCACTTTCTCCAGGAAGTACGGGGGGTTAAAAACCTATTCCTGCACAGTGGATGGAACTAAGGGTGCGTCTGAAATGGCACCCAATTCACTATAACCACCAACCTCTTTCGCTCATCAGTACTGTACTTGCTTTTCAAAGACATCCTGACTGTCCTCTCCCTCTCTATCTCATCATTCCAGTCAGTACAGTAGTGAGGCTGGGAGGCCCTAGCTCTCCGTCCGCAGGGGAATATGTCTGTGATTAATCAGGCCTTGCTGGATTAGCCGTCGAGCTACAGTGCTCAGGTTGCATCTTGACAACAGCTTGGTCTGAGCCCCTGTATCCCTGTGGTAAATACAAACCTCTTCCTCCTCCATGCAGCCAGCCAGGTATTCTCACCCACCACCACCAACACCACCGCCCATGGCTGCAAGTGATGACTCACCAAAGCTGCTGAAGCAGGCTGAAGTCTGGGCCAGGGATGCTAGGAGGATTAGCGTAGCCGTGGATGAAAAAGCCTTCATAATTCTAATGAGATTAGATGCAGGCCCTGTTGATACTGATGCCAGTGGTGAAGTGTGTGCGTGGAATGTGTGTAGGACATTTACATTTCAGCCATTTAGCAGACGCTCTAATCCAGAGTGACTTAGTTAGTGCATTCGTCTTAAGATAGCTAGGTGAGACAACCACATATCACAGTTGTAGTAAGTACATTTGCCCTCAATAAAGAAGTTAGCAGCAAAGTCAAAGTAGTAGCCCTGGATTCACTCTCACCTTCGTAGAAGCCGTCGTCGTCCATGGTGCCATACACGTACAGGTACTTCCCAGCCACCAGGGGGAGCTCTGCCTCTGGATGCTCATTTGGTCCATCGTAAGGATTGTAACTACACAACAAGAGAGAGGAGGGTGTTCAACATATTGATGTGCTCCTGACTACAAGATATACTACAAGATTTTTATGGCGAAAAGAGTGCTTCCGATGTGCAGGTTGAGGTACTCGGTGATCTAACTCTGGTCCAGGGTGTAACGTGCGGCTTGCTGACACTGACATTACGCCCTAGACCAGAGCCATATTTGATCCAGTTGTCCCAGGTGTTGTGAGACAGACTGAATAGTCCCACCTGTAGCGGGCGGTGCAGAGACGGACCGTGCCGGTGTAGCGAGGCTTGGACCTGGGCGCAGGGCTGACCTCATCCTCCATCTGCAGGAACACAGGGGCAGAGGAGTAATTATAGAGTTGCATCTAAATACTTCAACCCTTATACTCTCTAGTTCTACTTCTCTGACAGTTGCCACAGGAGAGTCATGTTGCTGTCCGGTGCTAAACCCATAGGTTTTACAGCTATAGCTCAGCTGACTGGTATCGTGTGCTATTATACAGCTGTTCCATGAATAGCCCATATGTTGATAATAGCAAAGATAAAGCACCCTCATGCTTTTGCATTGTGACTTTGTCTCTGTATGAGAAGAGAAGAGAGGCGGTACCCACCTCTGAGGGGGTCGCCCGTCGTGGGCTGCTGGGGCAGCTCGTTGTCACGGCGGTGGGATTGACAGATAGCAGCTCCGGCCTGTCTCTGTCTACAATCTGCAGTGGACGGAGGAACTTGGATATCAGCTGAGTGTTTGCCGAGCTCTCATTGCCTGGGAAACGTCAATTTCCACACCAAATAAAGAGCATCTGGCATCCCTTCTGCTCTCATTCATGGTACAGCTATTGATTTCCTGTTCAGGGGAGTAGACAGCAAACACACTACAGTATATGGCCAGGACCTGGCTGTGCTCTTTATGCCTGACACATCTGCAATGCATTTCCCTGATGGTTAACACTCTCTAAAGACACAGCTGACAGGGACCAGGGCACAGCCATCACAGAGTTCTCGTAGACACACCCCCTACACGACGCCAAGCCTAGGTCATTTCACATTTTAGACAAAAATATGGAATTAAAATTCTTGGTGGTTGGATTTGGTTCATCATGGTACCAGATTACAACCGTACAGTAGCATTTTCACTGCAGTAAAGTGAGTAGAGGATATCTAGAGCAGTATCTCAGAGCCTTCTAATCTATGGTATCTGCATTACTGATTCTGCTGAATGTATTAGCTGGCAGGTTATAGTATGTGGGGTTAGAATACTAATGTGTTGGCTCTCATTAGCAGATGTCATATATCAGCCCTCTGATCAATGAGCTGTGTTATTGATCATGAATATAGCAGCATTTCCTCAATTTCCACAGTGGTTCAGACTGGCCTACCACTGAGATGGGCTGAAGAGAGAAGCAGGTCCTCACTCTGACTCACACCAACCAGTTTAGCTGCCAATTTTCCCTCTCTATCTCCCACTCTCCCAACCTCACTCCTGTCGGCTTCTATTACTGTCTTGTTCCATTTTGAATTAATTAATTACCCAGGCATAATGACTGACAGAGCCTCATCTGGAGCACGAACAAGGGTGTGTACATGTGTACATACATTCAGAACCGTCCATTGGTCTTGATTGATGAGATACACAGTTTGAATAAAATGCCAGATATGATGCATGTACTTTGACTCTCTAAAGCTAGGCACTTTTCTGCTTCATATTTATGTCTTCTGACAGCACAATGTTCTTACAGAGGGCAGGGCTGGGAGCTCTCACCTTTCCCTGCCTGGGCGGCCAGTCCGTTGAGGATTTGGGAGAGTTTACTTTCCGGGGAAAGGTGAATTTTGTGTTTGGAGAAAGACTCAGTGCTGAGGATGTCCACAGTATCCGCCTCCAGAAGGAAATCTTCCAGGCTCTTGGACAATTGGCCAAACGGTTTAGTCTGTGACCTGCATTTCTGCTCCAGGTCGCGAACCTTGACCTTCCGTGGACAGGTATGTGATATAGAGGGGAGGAGAGAGAGAGACATAATCAATCAATGGAAGGTTTTTGTGTTCCTATGTAGCACATCTTTAGAAGGGAATACACTGTATTACATTTATATTTTAGTCATTTATCAGAAGCTCTTATCCAGAGCAACTTACATACATTTTCATACTGGTCCCCTGTGGGAATTAAACCCACAACCCTGACGTTGCAAGCGCCATGCTCCACCAAATGAGCCACAAGGGATCTATTACAAAGCAATGCATGTTTTATGTTAATAACATGTACATAATATACCTCTATCAATCAATCAATTTTATTTTATATAGCCCTTCTTACATCAGCTAATATCTCGAAGTGCTGTACAGAAACCCAGCCTAAAACCCCAAACAGCTAGTAATGCAGGTGTAGAAGCACGGTGGCTAGGAAAAACTCCCTAGAAAGGCGAAAACCTAGGAAGAAACCTAGAGAGGAACCAGGCTATGAGGGGTGGCCAGTCCTCTTCTGGCTGTGCCGGGTGGAGATTATAACAGAACCATGCCAAGATGTTCAAAAATGTTCATAAGTGACAAGCATGGTCAAATAATAATCAGGAATAAATCTCAGTTGGCATTTCATAGCCGATCATTAAGAGTTGAAAACAGCAGGTCTGGGACAGGTAGGGGTTCCATAACCGCAGGCAGAACAGTTGAAACTGGAATAGCAGCAAGGCCAGGCGGACTGGGGACAGCAAGGAGTCACCACGGCCGGTAGTCCCGACGTATGGTCCTAGGGCTCAGGTCTCTCAGTTGGCTTTTCATAGCCGATCATTAAGAGTTGAAAACAGCAGGTCTGGGACAGGTAGGGGTTTCGTAGCCGCAGGCAGAACAGTTGAAACTGGAATAGCAGCAAGGCCAGGCGGACTGGGGACAGCAAGGTGTCATCATGCCCGGTAGTCCTGACGTATGGTCCTAGGGCTCAGGTTCTCAGAGAGAAAGAGAGAACGAGAGAATTAGAGAGAGCATACTTAAATTCACACAGGACACTGGATAAGACAGGAGAAGTACTCCAGGTATAACCAACTAACCCCAGCCCCCCAACACATAAACTACTGCAGCATAAATACTGGAGGCTGAGACAGGAGCGGTCCGGAGACACTGTGGCCCCATCCGAAGAAACCCCCGGACAGGGCCAAACAGGAAGGATATAACCCCACCCACTCCGCCAAAGCACAGCCCCCGCACCACTAGAGGGATATCCCCAACCACCAACTTATAATCCTGAGACAAGGCCGAGTATAGCCCACAGAGGTCTCCACCACAGCACAAACCAAGGGGGGGGCGCCAACCCAGACAGGAAGATCACGTCAGTAACTCAACCCACTCAAGTGACGCACCCCTCCCAGGGACGGCATGAAAGAGCACCAGCAAGCCAGTGACTCAGCCCCTGCAACAGGGTTAGAGGCAGAGAACCCCAGTGGAGAGGGGAACCGGCCTGGCAGAGACAGCAAGGGCTGTTCGTTGCTCCAGCCTTTCCGTTCACCTTCACACTCCTGGGCCAGACTACACTCAATCATATGACCTACTGAAGAGATAAGTCTTCAGTAAAGACTTAAAGGTTGAGACCGAGTCTGCGTCTCTCACATGGGTAGGCAGACTGTTCCATAAAAATGGAGATCTATAGGAGAAAGCCCTGCCTCCCGCTGTTTGCTTAGAAATTCTAGGGACAATTAGGAGGCCTGCGTCTTGTGACCGTAGCGTACGTATTGGTATGTACGGCAGGACCAACTCGGAAAGATAGGTAGGAGCAAGCCCATGTAACGCTTTATAGGTTAACAGTAAAACCTTGAAATCAGCCCTTGCCTTAACAGGAAGCCAGTGTAGGGAAGCTAGCACTGGAGTAATATGATCAAATTTCTTGGTTCTAGTCAGGATTCTAGCAGCCGTATTTAGCACTAACTGAAGTTTATTTAGTGCTTTATCCGGGTAGCCGGAAAATAGAGCATTGCAGTAGTCTAACCTAGAAGTAACAAATGCATGGATTAATTTTTCTGCATAATTTTTGGACTCTACATGGCTATGAGTTCAACTAGTCAATGGCTTAAATCCTTATCTGGTGCTGCAGATCGCAAGCCGAACCAATTACGGCACGGGATCCCAAAAGAGCCATTTCATATAAAAAACACTGACTGCCGAGTAATCAACGTATATGGAAGAAGAGGCTGTGCAACACTGATACACTTTGATAACCAAAGCCAAGCACTACGAAGAGTTAAGAGGCTTAGAAAAGTATATACTGTACATTAAAGACATTATCTAAGCAGCTCCGAGACGATGATTAGAGCCTTGAGTTAACAACCGTTGGGTTTTCTCTGAAAGCTACAAGGCTCAAACCCCATGGCCTGCTGGGTAAGAGATAAGACAAGCCAGGGTCTTACCCACGGGGAAAGTTGGTTTCACCCAGCGATAAAACTAGATGGTTCAGAGTCAGAACACTGGGCTGCAAGATGGGCTGAGATACAGTAACTGAGGATGAATGAACAGCCATCGGGGAGCCACTACTTTGTTCTGCTTCGTTTTCAAATGGAAACAAGGAAATCAAATGTGCTTTGATGTTACAAAACATCTGGGAGGCGTACCAAATGGCACCCTATTCCCTACTACTATACAGTGCACTACCTTTGACCAGAGCCCTAAAGGCCCTGGTCATAAGTAGTGCAATATATAGGGAATAGGGTACCATTTGGGTCGTAACTTTGGACTGCAGTACAGAGGAGGCAGAAGAGGATCTATAGTGTGATCCAGTACCAACATGGGGCTCTGTTTATATAATTCAATCTAATTCAATATTAGTATATGTATGATTGCCTAATTACCATAACATATGCACTGATGTGAATTAGAGCCCAAGTGATTCACTGAGACGATTTAAAGGCTATAGGAAGGATGTGACCATGGAGATGATGAACACTGGGTATCTACAGTTGAAGTCGGAAGTTTACATACACCCAGTTTCTCACAATTCCTGACATTTAATCCTAGTAAAAATTCCCTGTTTTAGGTCAGTTAGGATCACCACTTTATTTTAAGAATGTGAAATGTCAGCATAATAGTAGAGAGAGTTATTTATTTCAGCTTTTAATTCTTTCATCACATTCCCAGTGGGTCAGAAGTTTACATACACTCAATTAGTATTTGGTAGCATTGCCTTTAAATTGTTTAACTTGGGTCAAACGTTTCGGGTAGCCTTCCACAAGCTTCCACAAGCTTCCCACAATAGGTTGGAATTTTGGCCCATTCCTCCTGACAGAGCTGGTGTAACTGAGTCAGGTTTGTAGGCCTCCTTGCTCGCACACGCTTTTTCCTCCAAACATAACGATGGTCATTATGGCCAAACAGTTATATTTTTGTTTCATCAGACAAGAGGACATTTCTCCAAAACGTACGATATTTGTCCCCATGTGCAGTTGTAAACCGTAGTCTGGCTTTTTATGGCAGTTTTGGAGCAGTGGCTTCTTCCTTGCTGAGCGGCCTTTCAGGTTATGTCGATATAGGACTTGTTTTACTGTGGATATAGATACGTTTGTACCTGTTTCCTCCAGCAACTTCACAAGGTCCTTTGCTGTTGTTCTGGGATAGATTTGCACTTTTTGCACCAAAGTACATTCATCTCTAGGAGACATAAAGCGTCTCCTTCCTGAGCGGTATGACGGCTGCGTGGTCCCATGGCGTTTATACTTGCGTACCATTGTTTGTACAGATGAATGTGGTACCTTCCGGCGTTTGGAAATTGCTCCCAAGGATGAACCAGATTTGTGGCGGTCTACAATTTTTTTTCTGAGGTCTTGGCTGATTTCTTTTGATTTTCCCATGATGTCAAGCAAAGAGGCACTGAGTTTGAAGGTAGGCCTTGAAATACATCCACAGGTACACCTCCAATTGACTCAAATGATGTCAATTAGCCTATTAGAAGCTTCTAAAGCCATGACATCATTTTCTGGAATTTTCCAAGCTGTTAAAGGCACAGTCAACTTAGTGTATGTATTCTTCTGACCCACTGGAATTGTGATACAGTGAATTATAAGTGAAATAATCGGTCTGTAAACAATTGTTGGAAAAAGTACTTGTGTCATGCACAAAGTAGATGTCCTAACCGACTTGCCAAAACAATAGTTTGTTAACAAAAAATGTGTGGAGTGGTTGAAAAACGAGTTTTAATGACTCCAACCTAAGTGTATGTAAACTTCCGACTTCAACTGCAGATGTTTCAGGGTGGGAAACATAAATACCTGCATTCTGTCCAAATGGTTCTGTTCAGACACAAAATAAAAACATAGAAACACACAATGACATTGAATAAAGATGAAAGAAAACAAACACCCAAATCAAACTGTTACATCGTATGCAATCAATGCATACATAATACAGTAATCAATGCAAAATCATGTAAATAAATGAGAAAAAAAAAAACATTACAAAACAAGTAGGTACGAAGAGTCCCCTATGGGGAATATCATCTACAATGAGTATTCTAAAAGAAAACACCCCAAATAATAATTCTCTGTGCACAGTGCCAGTCCTAATGCAACTCCTCTGCACTGTAGATATTCCATCTTCTGGATGGTTGCCCCCTGAACTCATGTTGATTTTTCTGTAAAAGAGGTTTCTCCAGATCCATTATTGCCGTGGCTGGGATGAGAGCTTCTGAGCTTAGTCTGAGCAACGGCAGTGTTGAGCGGTCTAACTGAGTCGTAATGGAGAGAGTTATGGGCAGGATGAGGTTTTGCTGACCCAACTCTCTGTGTATTCCATGCTCATCAGTACTTAACTCCCCACTCAACAAAAGCCTCAAAAAGCAATACAAATACAGTATAGAGTATCATTTGGGATTAACCAGGTTTACCTCAAACTCTTGTTTTTCATGAAAGGCAATACGGATTTCGTGGAATTAAAACAATGCAATTTAGGTATTTTCATATGCATCAATGTTTCTTGCATACACAAACAAAACCACATGTCTCAGTCAATTGACAGCCATTTTGAAAACAGCCACGGAAGCCATCCTCACTTTGCCAATCGGACCTCCATGTCCACTTACCTCTAACAGGTGGACCGCACCCTCATGCTCTCTCTCAGCTTCAACCTGAGCCTAGAGAACACAGACACACAGACATATAGGACCTGCAGGTGACACAGTGAGCACTGCACATTCTCTCTCTGTCAGTGCTACATCAAGCATACAATTGACACAGCTCTTGGTACACTGCAGACGTAGAAGAGACAGTCTGAGTTGAACAACAACTCAAGAGGAACTGTCAGTGCTAGATCAGACACATGCAGAACCCTCAGTGGTGTCAGCTCTGCACAGCATGAGAAGGTGAAATAGTCTTAAAGAGACTGGTTTACTGACTACAGTAAAAAGGCAGTTAATGCCTCACAGCTGTGGGGTATCTGAGGACAGTGGAGACTGGGCAAAATGGAGGGGGTGCTATGACTTCTAATTTAAAAACCTGCAACTGAGGTGCATCAGAAAAGCCTCATAATATCAAGCTGTTTCATCCAGATTGGCTTTGATATCGAGAAGGACAGAATGCTGTTCTACTCCAGTGATATATCATCTGTGCATTTGCTAATTGAATGAAATCACAGCACAATACATTAGGTAAAGGACAAAACAGACAAAGGACGAGGCCTCAAATGAGGACGCTGCGGCAGATGCATACAAACACACCGATTGAAACACAGATAGGTGTGCACACACACAAACACACAGCAATACTCAAAAGCAAACATCCTCGTTCAACTCTCAATAACACACACACACACACACACACACACACACACACAAACACGCACACACACATTCTCTCTCTGTCTCCCTAAACTGAAGTGCTTGGTTAACTTTAGGCGGTGTCTCTGGGGAGTAAGATCTGTGCTGTGCTTGCTATCTGCTCTAATTGCTGTGTGTCTGTCACGGCTCCTCTCTAAACAAAACACACAGGGATTCACACAGCTCTCTAGGAGCTCAGATTACTGCTGCCATTACAGACAGACAGACACACAATCACAGGAGACTACTTATTATATGGCCCCTTTAACTTTCCCATCACATTTCATATCCACACTAGGACTATGGTAGAATGTTGTTGTTTTTCATGGGTCATGAGTTACAGTGTTTGGGGGAACATTGCATAATAGATGCACGATACTAGTCTCTCTAATCAATGCACACATACTTGACCACTGTTACCATGATACATTGTCTTTAGTGACCACTGTGGTGATTTTAGATTTTTTATGTATTTAATTTAGTTTAAAAAATGTAGGGGGTAGATCAGCTTTAATATTTCAGATAGATTGTAACTTCCATCAATGTAATTGTCTGCATCACTTCCAGTCCCCCATATGTTTTTTTTTCGCGCAAATATACACATATATATATATATATATATATATATATATATATATATATATATATATATATTTATATATACACACACATACACACACACACATACACACACATATACAGTGGGGAGAACAAGTATTTGATACACTGCCGATTTTGCAGGTTTTCCTACTTACAAAGCATGTAAAGGTCTGTAATTTTTATTAAAGGTACACTTCAACTGTGAGAGACGGAATCTAAAACAAAAATCCAGAAAATCACATTGTATGATTTTTAAGTAATTAATTTGCATTTTATTGCATGACATAAGTATTTGATCAACTACCAACCACTAAGAATTCCAGCTCTCACAGACCTGTTAGTTTTTCTTTAAGAAGCCCTCCTGTTCTCCACTCATTACCTGTATTAACTGCACCTGTTTGAATTCGTTACCTGTATAAAATACACCTGTCCACACACTCAATCAAACAGACTCCAACCTCTCCACAATGGCCAAGACCAGAGAGCTGTGTAAGGACATCAGGGATAAAATTGTAGACCTGCACAACGCTGGGATGGGCTACAGGACAATAGGCAAGCAGCTTGGTGAGAAGGCAACAACTGTTGGCGCAATTATTAGAAAATGGAAGAAGTTCAAGATGACGGTCAATCACACTCGGTCTGGGGCTCCATGCAAGATCTCACCTCGTGGGGCATCAATGATCATGAGGAAGGTGAGGGATCAGCCCAGAACTACACGGCAGGACCTGGTCAATGACCTGAAGAGAGCTGGGACCACAGTCTCAAATAAAACCATTAGTAACACACTACGCCGTCATGGATTAAAATCCTGCAGCGCACGCAAGGTCCCCCTGCTCAAGCCAGCACATGTCCAGGCCCGTCTGAAGTTTGCCAATGACCATCTGGATGATCCAGAGAAGGTCATTTACATTTTAGTCATTTAGCAGACGCTCTTATCCAGGGCGACTTACAGTATTGAGAGGAGGATGGATGGGGCCATGTATCGCGAGATCTTGGCCAACAACCTCCTTCCCTCAGTAAGAGCATTGAAGATGGGTCGTGGCTGGGTCTTCAAGCATGACAACGACCCGAAACGCACAGCCAGGGCAACTAAGGAGTGGCTCCGTAAGAAGCATCTCAAGGTCCTGGAGTGGCCTAGCCAGTCTCCAGACCTGAACCCAATAGAAAATCTTTGGAGGGAGCTGAAAGTCCGTGTTGCCCAGTCCGTATTGCCCAGCGACAGCCCCGAAACCTGAAGGATCTAGAGAAGGTCTGTATGGAGGAGTGGGCCAAAATCCCTGCTGCAGTGTGTGCAAACCTGGTCAAGACCTACAGGAAACGTATGATCTCTGTAATTGCAAACAAAGGTTTTTGTACCAAATATTAAGTTCTGCTTTTCTGATGTATCAAATACTTATGTCATGCAATAAAATGCAAATTCATTACTTAAAAATCATACAATGTGATTTTCTGGATTTTTAATTTAGATTCCGTCTCTCACAGTTGAAGTGTACCTATTATAAAAATTACAGACCTCTACATGCTTTATAAGTAGGAAAACCTGCAAAATCGTCAGTGTATCAAATACTTGTTCTCCCCACTGTATATACATACATACACACACACATATCCTTTTTAAAATTATATTTCCCTTCATTACTTTCCAACCCTACCACCCCTTCCCCAATTGGAGTAAACTAGTGAACAACAACTCTTAGGCCTCTACTTCCAGCCCATACATACTATATACATTTTATGGACACAGTCAAATTCTACAATAATTATATTTTGTTTGTTTTTACTCCTGAACTTCCTCCAATCATTTTCATGATGTCCATCTGGTTTACTTCTATATGCCATATTTTTCTAACTGTGCTCTTTCACAAAAGCTCTCAACCTATAACCTATATACTTATTATGGACACAGTATGCTTTACCTTAGTTATGTTGTTGTTGGGGCGGCAGGTAGCTTAGTGGTTAAGAGCGTTGTGCCAGTAACCGAAAGGTCGCTGGTTCTAATCCCCGAGCTGACTAGGTGAAAAATCTGTCGATGTGCCCTTGAGCAAGGCACTTAACCCTAATTGCTATGGATAAGAGTGTCTGCTAAATGACTAAAATGTTATTAGTTGTTGTTATTAGTCCCATCCTTCAGCTCCATTTAACACCATCCATATTGGATTTCTATTTGCCATATATTTTTCAACTGTACTGTGATGTTTTCCAAAAGTTCAGAACCTTTCTATTCTCATGACCACTGTGGTGATGGTTGGAGTCTAGGGTCGGAGGCGCGGTGGGGTGTTATGGGCTTACCCTATGCAGAAGGTGGATATTCTGCTGCTTGGTGGTGAGGACAGCCAGGGCCTGCTCATGCTCTTCATCCAACTGCTGCCTCCTCTCAGCAGCCTCTCGCAAATGCTGGGGAGACCAGGTCACAAACAATGCGGTCAATACACGTTCATATGCTGGGGAGACCAGGTCACAAACAATGCAGTCAATACACGTTAATATGCTGGGGAGACCAGGTCACAAACAATGCAGTCAATACACGTTCATATGCTGGGGAGACCAGGTCACAAACAATGCAGTCAATACACATTCATATGCTGGGGAGACTGGGTCACAACACCGTCAATACACGTTCATATGCTGGGGAGACCAGGTCACAACATGGTCAATACACGTTCATATGCTGGGGAGACTGGGTCACAACATGGTCAATACACGTTCATATGCTGGGGAGACTGGGTCACAACACGGTCAATACGCGTTCATATGCTGGGGAGACTGGGTCACAACATGGTCAATACACGTTCACATGCTGGGGACACCGGATCACAACCCATGATCATAGTGCGGTAACTATGCCTTGAAAATATCCAAATGGATCACGGAATGGTTACAACACAGTCCAAACACATTTACAGCACCCATAATACCAGTTGAACAATACATCAAAGGTAAAAGGCAAAAGTAGAAAGAAAGCTCTCGTTTTCCATTCAAACGGTATGAAGCTTGTCTACCTCTATTGACGCCATATCTAGTCCGTCTCACTGATTCCTGTGATCAATCAAATACACTGAGTGTACAAAACATTAGCTACACCTGCACCAGGCGCACCAGTTTGAGTGTGTCAAGAACTGCAATGCTGCTGGGTTTTTCACGCTCATCAGATTCCTGTGTGTATCAAGAATGCTCCACCACCACCCAGACAACTTGAAACAACTGTGGGAAGCATTGGAGTCCACATGGGCCATCCCTGTGGAATGCTTCCGACAGCTTGTAGAGTCCATGCCCAGACGATCGAGGCTGTTCTGAGGGCAAAAGGGGGTGCAACTCAATATTAGGAAGGTGTTCCTAAAGTTTTGTACACTCAGTGTATAGTCACCCACTCCCAAATGAGTCATTATGACTGTATCTCCAGAGTTAAGAGCAGCTGCCACCGGTAGGAGTTGGAGTTAGGAACGTAAGATGTTTCTTGGAGTTTAAAAACATAAAGCAGCTTATAAACTCTGACATTCATCTTTTTCTCTCTGGAAGAAGGAAAGCCTCTTTCTCCCCAGAGATGCTCAGATGTGTCCTGAGCAGGCACTGCTTTGCATAATCACAGAGGAGTCTTAAGCTCTGCTAGAGACACAGGAGACTCCAGTGACTGAGGGACTGAGGGACTGTCACTAGGATCATTCTGTCAGATGCGGTTGTTGGTCATTCAAAAGCTCCAAAATGGACTGGCCGATAGTCCTCTGGCTCTCATACACAGTGATCAGACAATAGCGTACAGCTAACTGATTCTCCTAACCATCGTCATCGTTATCGTCGCCATCATCATCCTCATCCACAGCAACAAAGATGCTACTTCTCTGTTTAAGACTCCACTTATTCAGATTAGCCAACTTTATGGCGCTATTATGTCAGTGAATATCTCTCTCTGAAAATGCTGAGGTATAGCACAATCTTGGTAACATGGTTATGCAATGGTGAAAAAGTACCAACTATTATCCCTGAAACATTGAGCACACTGGAAACTAAGGAGAGTGCTCCACTTCGGGAAATCTCTCACTTATATTTTTTCATTCTCCCTTTTCAGAGTTTTTCTCTGCTTTCTCCATCCTCATCTCTCTCCATAATGTTCTCCAACATGCAATCTCCACATCCGTACAAATCAATAGGCAATGAGAAAGTAACACACACTTCTTTTATTTTTTAGGAGCAGGAGTCAATTTTCTCAGATGGGTACATTTTTCTCTCAAATATAGCCACTCCTTACAAACAGACAATCAATATGGAATGGAGGGAAGCAGTGATTTGTAATGAGAGCATATTTCACACTGCTATGAGACTGCTGCTGATTGCTATTGGCATACAAGGGTCTAATGAAAAAAAGTTTCCTGCAAAACAAATGACAAAACTCATGACTTACACACTTTTATTGGGAAGAAAGATGTATTCTATAACTCATAGGATAGACTTTGTAGATAGATCCATTTGTCCAATCGGATTTTCAGAAAAGATTGATCTAGTGATCTAGCCTTACCTTAACCTAACCCAATCAGATTGCAAAGGCCTTATAGAACCCTGTCTATGATGTTTAATCCATATCTCATGATTGGCTGACAGAGCTTACTGTTGAGATGGAAGAACAGCAGCAGTGAATGTAGGAGAGCTAGGATGGATGAATGGACGGATGGACGGATGGACGGACAGACGGATTCTCACCTTGAGGACCTGCTCGAGGTTCTCCAGTTTGCCTTGGAGCCGTATATTCTCCTGTTGGGCTAAGTCTCTCTCCTGACTCACAGCACTTTAGGTGTGTCTGAGCTGCTCATAGTCTGACCTTACCTAGAGAAAAATAAAAGAAAGACAGAAATCTAGTAAGAGTAAGAGTGAGTCAGAGAGAAGAAAGATACACTACAGTGCCTTGCAAAAGTATTAATTCCCCTTGGCGTTTTTCCTGTTTTGTTGCATTACAAACTATAATTTAAATTGAGTTTTTTTTGGATTTCATGTAATGGACATACACAAAATAGTCCAAATTGGTGAAGTGAAATGAAAAAAATTCTTTTTTCAAATAATTCAAAAGAATAAATAACGGAAAAGTGGTGCGTGCATATGTATTCACCCCCTTTGCTATGAAGCCCCTAAATAATCTGGTGCAGCCAATTACCTTCAGAAGTCACATAATTAGTTAAATAAAGTCCACCTGTGTGCAGTCTAAGTGTCATATGATCTGTCACGTGATCTCAGTATATAGACACCTGTTCTGAAAAGCCCCAGAGTCTGCAACACCACTAAGCAAGGGGCACCACCAAGCAAGCGGCATCATGAAGACCAAAGAGCTCTCCAAACAGGTCAGGGACAAAGTTGTGGAGAAGTACAGATCAGGGTTGGGTTTTGAAAAAATATCTGAAAATTTTGAACATCCCACGGAGCACCATTAAATCCATTATTAAAAAATGGAAAGAATATGGCACCACAACAAACCTGCCAAGAGAGGGCCGCCCACCAAAACACGGACCAGGCAAGGAGGGCATTAATCAGAGAGGCAACAAAGAGACCTAAGATAACCCTGAAGGAGCTGCAATGCTCCACAGCAGAGATTGGAGTATCTGTCCATAGGACCACTTTAAGCCGTACACTCCACAGAGCTGGGCTTTTACGGAAGAGCGGCCAGAAAAAAGCCATTGCTTGAAGAAGAAAATAAGCAAACAAGTTTGGTGTTCACCAAAAGGCATGAGGGATACTCCCCAAACATATGGAAGAAGGTACTCTGGTCAGATAACACTAAAATTGAGCTTTTTGGCCATCAAGGAACGCTATGTCTGGCGCAAACCCAACACCTCTCATCACCCCGAGAACACCATCATGCCATCATGCTGTGGGGATGTTTTTCATCGGTAGGGACTGGGAAACTGTTCAAAATTGTAGGAATGATGGATGGCGCTAAATACAGGGAAATTCTTGAGGGAAACCTGTTTCAGTCTTCCAGAGATTTGAGACTGGGACGGAGGTTCACCTTCCAGCAGGACAATGACCCTAAGCATACTACTAAAGCAACACTCGAGTGGTTTAAGGGGAAACATTTAAATGTCTTGGAATGGCCTAGTCAAAGCCCGGACCTCAATCCAATTGAGAATATGTGGTATGACTTAAAGATTGCTGTACACCAGCAGAAACCATCCAACTTGAAGGAGCTGGAGCAGTTTTGCCTTGAAGAATGGACAAAAATCCCAGTGGCTAGATGTGCCAAGCTTATAGAGACATACCCCAAAGAGATTGCAGCTGTAATTGCTGCAAAAGGTGGCTCTACAAAGTATTGACTTTGGGGGGGTGAATAGCTATGCACGCTCAAGTTTTAGTTTTTTGTGTTATTTCTTGTTTGTTTCACAATAAAAAATATTTTTCATCTTCAAAGTGGTAGGCATGTTGTGTAAATCAAATGATACAAACCCCCCAAAAATCCATTTTAATTCCAGGTTGTAAGGCAACAAAATAGGAAAGATGTGAAGGGGGCTGAATACTTTCGTACAAAAGTATGTGGACACCCCTTCAAATTAGTGGATTTGGCTATTTTAGCTACACCTGTTGCTGACAGGTGTATGAAATTGAGCACACCCCCATGCAATCTCCATAGACAAACATTGGCAGTAGAATGGCCCGTACTGAAGCACTCAGTGACTTTCAACTTGGCACCGTTGTCACGGATTCTGTCGAGGCTGCTCCTCCTCCTGGTTCGGGCAGGCTTCGGCGTTCGTCGTCCCCGGAGTACTAGCTGCCACCGTTGAATGTTTCTATGTGTGATTGCTTTTGTCTGTCTGTCACACCTGTGTCCGTTTGTGTCTGATTACGTGTTCTATAAGTTGCCTGTGTTGTATTGGTTAGGTTGTGTGTTGTTCTCCGCTTGTCCGTAGTGCTGCGTGTTTTGTATTTGTTTTCTTGTTTATTTGTTATACGCATGGTTTGCGTATTGCTCGCCTCGGTTTTGTTGTTGAGGCCGTTTACTGTATTTTTGCCCAGTGGTTTTCACAGTAAACTTTGTTGGACTAAACTTCGGTGTCCTGCGCCTGACTTCCACACTCCATACACCTCAGCCCTTGACAGAACAACACACCACTATGGAGTCAGCAGGAGCAGTGGCGGCACCCAAGTCGCTGGAGGATCGGATCAGCGACCAAGACACCATGATCCGGCGACTTGGGGCCGCCATGAACGAGGTGTCCAACACTCTGCGCCAGTTGGTTACTGGAGAGGTGCCCACGCCTTCTCACACCATCCCATCACCAACGGCCAGTCCTCCTCTCTCAGCACCGGAACCCAGTGGCGTTCGGCTCTCGCTCCCGAGGGCATATGACGGTTCTGCAGCAGGGTGTCAGGGGTTCCTCCTGCAGGTGGAACTCTACCTGGCTACCATACACCCAGCACCCTTGGGATACGAGAGCGTCTCCGCACTCATCTCCTGTCTATCCGGCAAGGCGTTGGAGTGGGCCAACGCCGAATGGAGGGGAATAGACGCAGCTACCATCACCTACGCGGAGTTCTCCCGCCGCTTCAGGGCTGTCTTCGATCACCCACCTGAGGGGAAGGCGGCGGGGGAGCGTCTGTTCCACCTCCGACAGGGGAAGAGGAGCGCACAGGAGTTCGCCCTGGAGTTCCGGACTCTTGCGGCGGATGCGGGGTGGAATGCGAGGGCCCTCATCGACCATTACCGGTGTAGCCTACGAGAGGACGTTCGTCGTGAGCTGGCCTGCAGGGACACCAACCTAGCCTTCGACCAGTTGGTGGACATCTCCATCCGGCTCGACATCCTGCTGGCTACCCGCGGACGTCCCGAGTGGGGGTCATCCATTCCACCCTCCAGCACCTCCGAGCCGATTCCCATGGAGCTCGGGGGTGCTGGCGCTAGAGAGAGGAGGAGAGAGAACCCGAGGGGGGCCATCCCCTGCACCAACTGTGGCCGTGGAGGACACACCACGGCCAGGTGCTGGGGAGGGTCTCCTGGGAGAGGGGACAACAGGTCACGCACTGGGGAGTCATTTCAGGTGAGTAGGCGCCCCACTTACCCAGAGCTCTCTGTTGGTCACATGAGTATACCTGTGAGATTTCCACAGGTGGCACTTCATTCCCAGCATAAGGCGCTAGTAGATTCAGGCGCAGCTGGGAATTTTGTTGATCGTGCATTTTGTATTAGGTTAGGAATTCCCCTTCGGCCGGTAGAAGCCCCCTTTCCTGTTCACGCCCTAGACAGCCGGCCGTTGGGGTCGGGGCTGATCAGAGAAGTCACAGCACCACTTAAGATGACGACGCAGGGGGGTCATGAGGAGATCATTCAGTTTTATCTGATTGACTCTCCTGCGTATCCCGTGGTGTTGGGGCTTCCCTGGTTAAGCGCCCATGATCCTACCATTGCGTGGCAACAGAGGGCTCTTATGGAGTGGTCTGCCCAGTGTGTAGGGAGATGTCTAGGTGTTTCCTTAGGGGCGACCTCGGTAGAGAGTCCGAACCAAGTGCCCGCAATGCGCATTCCCCCTGAATATGAGGATTTAGCACTTGTGTTCAGCAAAACGAGGGCAACACGGCTACCACCTCATAGACAGGGGGATTGTGCGATAAATCTCCAAACAGGAGCGGCACTTCCGTGGAGCCGTGTGTATCCCCTGTCTCAAGAGGAGACAGCGGCATGGAGACTTACATAGCCGAGTCCTTGGCACAGGGTTACATACGGTCCTCCACTTCCCCGGTTTCCTCGAGTTTCTTCTTTGTGAAGAAGAAGGACGGGGGTTTGCGCACGTGTATTGATTACCGTTGTCACGGTGTATAAATGGTGTGGTGTGGAATCAGGCGCAGAAGCAGATGTACAGTCCAACAAGACTTTACTAGCGAGAGCAAAACAATCCAAAAACGGCCAGAGGCCAAACAGACGCACACAGGCGTCAAACACGAGCGCACAAACACAGGGCGCAAAAAACTCTCCTCAATCAAGGAGGAAGCTATAATGTAACTGGCGTACCGAAACACGGGTAACGCACAAACACCTGACACGAAACAATTACACACAACACTACACTAACAACAAGGAAACTAAATAGGGTGCTTAATGAGACATAACACAAGACAGGTGTGGCTAACAGACAAAACTAATCAAACAGGAAACATAGAACATACAACGGTGGCAGCTAGAATTCCGGAGACGACGAACGCCGAAACCAGCCCGAACAAGGGAGAGAGGCAGCCTCGGCCGAAACCGTGACAGTACCCCCCCCTTGACGCGCGGCTCCAGACGTGCGCCGACTCCGGCCTTGGGGACGACCCGGAGGACGTGGAGCAGGGCGCGTTGGATACCCCCGATGGAATTCCGTCAGGAGCGACGGGTCCAAAATGTCTCTCCTCGGCACCCAGCACCGCTCCTCCGGACCGTACCCCTCCCACTCCACTAGATACTGGAGACCCCCCATCCGACGTCTCGAATCCAAAATGGACCTCACGGAGTACGCCGGTGCCCCCTCGATGTCCAATGGGGGCGGAGGAGTCTCCCCTATCTCATTTTCTTGGAGCGGGCCTGCTACCACCGGCCTGAGAAGGGACACATGGAACGAGGGGTTAATACACTTATACTCCACAGGTAGCTGTAATCTATAACATACCTCGTTCAACCTTCTCAGGACTTTAAATGGCCCTACAAACCGCCGACCCAGTTTCCGACAGGGCAGGCGGAGGGGCAGGTTTCTGGTAGAGAGCCAGACTCGATCACCAGGTGCGTACACCGGTCCCTCACTGCGGTGGAGATCAGCGCTCGCCTTCTGACGTCGGAGGGCCCGCTGTAGGTGGACGTGTGCAGCGTTCCAAGTCTCCTCCGAGCGCCGCGCCCACTCATCCACCGCAGGAGCCTCGATCTGGCTCTGCTGCCAGGGTGCCAGAACCGGCTGGTAACCCAACACACATTGAAATGGAGTTAGGTTAGTGGAGGAATGGCGTAGGGAATTCTGGGCCATCTCGGCCCAGGGAACGTACCTTGACCACTCCTCCGGCCGGTCCCGGCAGTATGTTCTGAGAAACCTACCCACATCCTGGTTAACGCGTTCCACCTGCCCATTACTCTCCGGGTGGTACCCCGAGGTGAGGCTCACCGAGACCCCCAACCGCTCCATAAACGCTCTCCAGACTCTGGAGGTGAATTGGGGACCCCGATCAGCCACAATGTCCTCGGGTACCCCGTAGTGCTGGATCACATGGGTGAACAGTGCCTCGGCAGTTTGTAGGGCAGTAGGAAGACCCGGCATGGGGAGCAAACGACAGGCCTTAGAGAACCGGTCCACAACGACCAGGATGGTAGTATTCCCTTGGGAGAGGGGAAGGTCTGTTATAAAGTCCACAGAGAGGTGGGACCATGGTCGTTGTGGAACGGGCAGGGGTAGCAACTTACCCCTAGGCAGATGTCTAGGCGCCTTACACTGGGCGCACACCGAGCAGGAGGAAACATAAACCCTCACATCCCTTGCCAACGTGGGCCACCAGTACTTGGCACTAAGACAGTGCACTGTCCGGCCGATACCCGGATGTCCAGAGGAGGGTGACGTGTGAGCCCAATAGATCAATCGATCCCGAACCTCGAGCGGAACGTACTTCCGACCCTCCGGGCACTGTGGTGGACTAGGGTCGGTGCGTAACGCCCACTCGAGTTCAGTATCGACCTCCCACACTACCGGTGCCACCAGACACGACTCAGGCAGTATGGGAGTGGGCTCCACGGACCTCTCCTCCGTGTCATACCGCCGAGACAGCGCATCTGCCTTACCATTCTGTGACCCAGGGATGTACGTGATCTTAAAAGTAAACCTGGTCAAGAACATACTCCATCTTGCCTGGCGAGGGTTCAGCCTCCTCGCCGCCCGGATGTACTCCAGGTTACGGTGGTCCGTCAAAATGAGGAAAGGGTGTTGAGCCCCCTCAAGCCAGTGCCTCCACACCTTTAGAGCCTGTACCACGGCTAACAGCTCCCTGTCCCCTACGTCATAGTTCCGCTCCGCCGGACTGAGCTTCTTAGAATAAAAAGCACAGGGGCGGAGTTTAGGTGGCGCGCCAGACCGTTGTGAAAGCACGGCTCCTAAACCGGCCTCTGACGCGTCCACCTCTACCTGGAACGGCAAAGAGGGATCCGGATGCGCCAGCACCGGGGCCGAGGTAAACAGGTCCTTCAGCCTCCCAAACGCCCTGTCCGCCTCGGCCGACCACTGAAGACGCACCGGACCCCCCTTCAACAGAGACGTGATGGGAGCTGCCACCTGTCCAAAACCCCGGATAAACCTCCTGTAGTAATTTGCAAACCCCAAAAACTGCTGCACCTCCTTCACAGTGGTTGGTGTTTGCCAATTACGCACGGCCGACACCCGGTCTACCTCCATCTTCACCCCTGACACAGACAACTGATAACCCAAAAAGGAGACCGACTCCTGGAAAAACAGACACTTCTCTGCCTTCACATACAGGTCGTGCTCCACCAGCCTCCGCAACACTCTACGCACCAGGGCCACATGCTCGACACGGGTAGGCGAGTACACGAGAATGTCATCAATGTACACAACCACCCCCTGCCCCTGCATGTCCCTGAAGATCTCATCCACGAATGATTGGAAAACTGACGGAGCATTCATCAACCCGTATGGCATGACCAGATACTCGTAATGGCCCGAGGTGGTACTAAAGGCTGTCTTCCATTCATCACCCTCCCTGATGCGCACCAAGTTGTACGCGCTCCTGAGATCTAATTTAGTGAAGAAACGCGCCCCATGCAACGACTCAGTCATGGTCGAAATCAGCGGGAGTGGATAACTGTACTTCACCGTAATCTGATTGAGACCACGGTAATCGATGCACGGGCGCAAACCACCATCCTTTTTCTTCACAAAAAAGAAACTCGAGGACGCAGGGGAAGTGGAAGGCCGTATGTATCCTTGTCTCAGAGATTCGTCTATGTAAATCTCCATAGCTTTCTTCTCCTCCTGAGACAGAGGATACACATGGCTCCGTGGGAGCGCAGCTCCTGCCTGGAGGTCTATCGCACAATCTCCCTGCCTATGGGGTGGCAACCGCGTCGCCCTCGCCTTACTAAACGCAATAGCCAAATCCCCATACTCAGGGGGAACGTGCAATGCGGGCACCTGGTTTGGACTCTCCACCGAGGTAGCCCCTACGGAAACGCCCAAACATCTACCCACACACTGAGCAGATCACCACCGGATACGCAGGAGAGTCAATCAGGAACAGCTGAATCATCTCCTGATGATCCCCCTGTGCACACATCCTAAGTGGCGCCGTGACCTCCCTGATTAAGCCCGTACCCAACGGACGACTATCTAGGGCATGAACGGGAAAAGGAACATCAACAGGAATAAGGGGAATCCCTAACGCTAAACAAAACTTTTTATCAATAAAATTCCCAGCCGCGCCTGAATCTACCAGCGCCTTATGCTGGGAATGAGGTGCTACCTGTGGAAAACGCACAGGCATCCAAAAATGGGCAACAGTGAGCTCTGGGTGAGTGGGGCGCCTACTCACCTGGAGGGAATCCCCAGTGCGGGACCTGTCGTCATCCTCCCAGGAGGCCATCCCCAGCACCTAGCTGCGGTGTGTCCTCCCCGACCACAGTTGGTGCAGTGGATGGACCCCCTAACCAACCGACTCCTCCTCTCTCTAGCGCCAGCGCCCCCGAGCTCCATAGGACACGGCTCGGAGGCGCTGGAGGGTGAAATGGACGGACCCCCTCAGGACGTCCGCGGGTGGCCAATAGGTTATCCAGCCTGATGGACATGTCGACCAGCTGGTCGAAAGAGAGACTGGTGTCCCTACAAGCCAGCTCCCGACGGACATCCTCTCGTAGGCTACATCTGTATAGATCGACGAGGGCCCGCTCATTCCACCCGGCATCTGCCGCTAGAGTACGGAATTCGAGAGCGAATTCTTGGGCACTCCTCCTCCCCTGCCGGAGGAAGACCAGACGCTCCCCCGCCGCTTTCCCCTCTGGGGGATGGTCAAACACCGCCCTGAAGCGGCGGGAGAACTTGTTGTAGGTGATCGTCTCGGCGTCGATCTTCCTCCACTCCACGTTGGCCCATTCCAACGCCTTCCCGGACAGGCAGGAGATCAGGGCGGACACGCTCTCATGCCCCGAGGGTGCCGGGTGTACGGTGGCCAGGTACAGCTCCACCTGGAGGAGGAATCCCTGACACCCAGCCGCGGTTCCGTCGTAGGCCCTCGGGAGAGAGAGTCGGATTCCTCGGGGTTCTGGCGCTGGAATGGGCGGACTGGCCGATGGTGCTGGCAGGGAGGGAGGTGGTGGAGGCGCTCCCCAGCCTCGGAGCGTGGTGATCACCTCCTGCAGGGCGGTCCCCATCTGCTGTATCTGGTCCTGTTGTTCCCGAACCTGGACCTCCAGTCTCGTCGGGGCTGCTTCGGCTCCTGCTGATTCGTCGGGTGTGTAATTCTGTCACGGTGTATAAATGGTGTGGTGTGGAATCAGGCGCAGAAGCAGATGTACAGTCCAACAAGACTTTACTAGCGAGAGCAAACAATCCAAAAACGGCCAGAGGCCAAACAGACGCACACAGGCGTCAAACACGAGCGCACAAACACAGGGCGCAAAAAACTCTCCTCAATCGAGGAGGAAGCTATAATGTAACTGGCGTACCGAAACACGGGTAACGCACAAACACCTGACACGAAACAATTACACACAACACTACACTAACAACAAGGAAACTAAATAGGGTGCTTAATGAGACATAACACAAGACAGGTGTGGCTAACAGACAAAACTAATCAAACAGGAAACATAGAACATACAACGGTGGCAGCTAGAATTCCGGAGACGACGAACGCCGAAACCTGCCCGTACAAGGGAGAGAGGCAGCCTCGGCCGAAACCGTGACAACCGTAGTCTCAATCTGATCACGGTTAAGTACAGTTACCCTCTTCCACTGATTGCGACTATAACAGAATCATTACGCGGAGCGCGGTTCTTCACAAAGTTGGATCTCAGTAGCGCGTACAATCTGGTGCGCATTAGGAAGGGGGATGAATGGAAAACTGCATTTAGCACCACCTCGGGTCATTAAGAGTATCTCGTCATGCCTTATGGGTTAATGAATGCTCCTTCAGTCTTCCAATCCTTTGTTGACGAGATTTTCCGGAACATGCATGGGCAGGGTGTGGTAGTATACATCGACGACATCCTAGTGTACTCTTCTACACGAGCCGAGCATGTAGCCCTGGTGCGCCGAGTGTTGAGAAGACTGTTGGAGCATGACTTGTATGTCAAGGCAGAGAAATGCCTGTTCTTCCAGGAGTCCGTCTCCTTTTTGGGTTATCGGTTGTCCGCGTCTGGTGTGGAGATAGAGGTAGACCGTGTGTCGGCCGTGCGTAATTGGCAAACTCCAACCACTGTAAAAGAGGTGCAGCAGTTTTTGGGTTTTGCTAATTACTACCGGAGGTTTATCCGGGGCTTTGGACAGGTTGCAGCTCCCATTACGTCCCTGCTAAAGGGGGGTCCGGTTCGTTTGCAGTGGTCAGCTGAGGCGGACAGGGCATTTGTCAAACTGAAGAACCTGTTCACCTCGGCCCCGGTGCTGGCGCATCCGGATCCCTCTTTACCATTCCAAGTAGAGGTAGACGCGTCCGAGGCCGGCATTGGGGCAGTCCTGTCGCAACGGTCCGGCACGCCACCTAAGCTCCGCCCCTGTGCGTTCTACTCTAAGAAGCTCAGCTCGGCGGAGCGTAATTATGACGTTGGGGACAGGGAGCTGTTAGCTGTAGTCCAGGCCCTAAAGGTGTGGAGGCATTGGCTTGAGGGGGCTCAACACCCTTTCCTCATTCTGACTGATCACCGTAACCTGGAGTACATCCGGGCAGCTAGGAGATTGAACCCTCGTCAGGCTAGGTGGAACATGTTCCTGACCCGGTTTGTTTTTAAGATCACATACATCCCAGGGTCCCAGAACGGTAAGGCAGACACCCTGACCCGGCGGTATGACACAGAGGAGAGGTCCATTGAGCCTACTCCCATACTGCCGGAGTCTTGTCTGGTGGCTCCGGTGGTGTGGGAGGTCGATGCGGAGATCGAGCGGGCACTGCGTACCGACCCTACTCCCCCCGAGTGTCCGGTGGGGCGGACGTACGTTCCGCTCGAGGTTCGTGATCGCCTTATTTATTGGGCTCATACATCACCCTCCTCTGGACATCCAGGTATTGGCCGGACAGTGCACTGCCTTAGCGTGAAATACTGGTGGCCAACGTTAGCTAGGGATGTGAGGTTTTATGTCTCCTCCTGCTCGGTGTGCGCCCAGTGTAAGGCGCCTAGACATTTGCCCAGGGGAAAGTTACATCCCCTGCCCGTTCCACAACGACCATGGTCCCACCTCTCGGTGGATTTTGTGACCGACCTACCCCCCTCCCAGGGGAATACCACCATTTTGGTCGTTGTGGATCGGTTTTCTAAGGCCTGTCGTCTCCTCCCAATGCCGGGTCTCCCTACTGCCCTACAGACCGCTGAGGCCCTATTTACCCACGTGTTCCGGCACTATGGGGTCCCCGAGGATATAGTGTCTGACCGAGGTCCCCAGTTCACCTCCAGAGTCTGGGGGGCGTTCATGGAACACTTGGGGGTCTCGGTGAGCCTTACCTCGGGGTACCACCCAAAAAGCAATGGGCAGGTTGAACGAGTCAACCAGGATGTGGGTAGGTTTCTGAGGTCCTATTGCCAGGACCGGCCGGAGGAGTGGTCTAGGTATATCCCCTGGGCAGAGATGGCCCAGAACTCTCTCCGCCACTCCTCCACCAATTTAACACCTTTCCAGTGTGTTTTAGGTTATCAGCCGGTCCTGGCACCATGGCACGAGAGCCAGATCGAGGCCCCTGCGGTGGATGAGTGGATTCGGCGCTCGGAGGAGACGTGGGACGCTGCCCATGTCCATCTGCAGCGGGCCATCCGTCAACAAAAGGCGAGCGCCGATGGCCACCGCAGTGAGGGACCGGTATACGCACCGGGAGATCGAGTCTGGCTCTCGACTCGAAACCTGCCCCTCCGCCTGCCCTGCCGGAAGCTGGGTCGGCGGTTTGTGGGGCCCTTTAAAGTCCTGAGAAGATTGAACGAGGTGTGTTACAGGTTACAATTGCCTATTGAGTACAAGAATATTAACCCCTCGTTCCATGTGTCTCTTCTCAGGCCGGTGGTAGCTGGCCCACTCCAAGAACATGAGATAGGAGAGACCCCTCCGCCCCCTTTGGACATCGAGGGGGTCCCGGCGTACAGAGTCCGGACCATCTTGGACTCGAGGCGCCGGATGGGTGGTCTCCAGTATCTCGTGGAGTGAGAGGGGTACGGTCCGGAGGAACGGTGCTGGGTGCCTAGGAGGGACATCCTAGATCCATCCCTCCTGACGGAGTTCCACCGTGGGCATCCCACGCGCCCGGGTCCGCGTCCTCCTGGCCGTCCCCGAGGCCGGGGGGGTACTGTCACGGATTCTGCCGAGGCTGCTCCTCCTCCTGGTTCGGGCAGGCTTCAGCGTTCGTCGTCCCCGGAGTACTAGCTGCCACCGTTGAATGTTTCTATGTGTGATTGCTTTTGTCTGTCTGTCACACCTGTGTCCGTTTGTGTCTGATTACGTGTTCTATAAGTTGCCTGTGTTGTATTGGTTAGGTTGTGTGTTGTTCTCCGCCTGAACGTAGTGCTGCGTGTTTTGTATTTGTTTTCTTGTTTATTTGTTATACGCATGGTTTGCGTATTGCTCGCCTCGGTTTTGTTGTTGAGGCCGTTTACTGTATTTTTGCCCAGTGGTTTTCACAGTAAACTTTGTTGGACTAAACTTCGGTGTCCTGCGCCTGACTTCCACACTCCATACACCTCAGCCCTTGACAACCGTCATAGAATGCCACCTTTCCAACAAGTCAGTTCATCACATTTCTGCCCTGCTAGAGCTGCCCCGGTCAACTATAAGTGCTGTTATTGTGATGTGGAAATGTCTAGGAGCAACAACGGCTCAGCCGTGAAGTGGTAGGCCACACAAGCTCACAGAACGGGACCGCCGAGTGCTGAAGCGCTCTGCGCGTAAAAATCGTCTGTCCTCGGTTGCAACACTCACTACCGAGTTCCAAACTACCTCTTTAAGCAATGTCAGCACGAGATCTGTTCGTTGAGAGCTTCATGAAATGGTTTTGCATGGCCGAGCAGCCGCACACAAGCCTAAGATTACCATGCACAATGCCAAGCATCGGCCGGAGGGGTTTAAAGCTCGCTGCCATTGGACTCTGGAGCAGTGGAAACGCGTTCTTTGGCGTGATGAATCACGCTTCACCATCTGGCAGTCCGACGGACTAATCTGGGTTTGGCGGATGCCAGGAGAACGCTACCTGCCCAATCCATAGTGCTAACTGTAAAGTTTGGTGGAGGAGGAATTATGGTCTGGAGCTGTTTTTCATGGTTCGGGCTAGGTTGCTTAGTTCCAGTGAAGGGAAATTTCAACACTACAGCATACAATGACATTCTAGATTATTCGGTGCTTCCAACTCTGTGGCTCTGTCAGGGCTCTGTGCAGGCTAGTCAAGTTCCTTTCCTGTTTCAGCATGACAATGCCCCCGTGCACAAAGCGAGGTCCATACAGAAATGGTTTGTCGAGATCGGTGTGGAAGAACTTGACTGGCCTGCACAGAGCCCTGACCTGGCTTAAATCACAACAAGTCCCTTGATTTCCCTCCCATCAACCAGACAGCCCTGACACGTTCCTCTCAGCACTCATTCACTCTCCCCTCTCCTCTTGTCTATACGCCCCCATCCTCTGATACAGGAAGGCCGCTCTGCTCGCATCTCCCATCGGTCTCACGTCGTCTGATTTTGAGAAATCGCCCCCCTGACACCTTTATCCCTCCCATGTTATTTACTGACTCTCCACAATCTCATTAACACCCAGAAAGTGAGAGACAAGCACCTCGGCTAGCGTTACGCTAACTCTTCCTTTGATCACTGCCTCTGATGCTAACGCTAACCATGTCCTCTCAGGTAGTAGCGTCAGACCCAGGCTTGGGCTCAGGTACCTGGGGCACCGCACTACTCTGTCCCCCCTCTCTCTCTTCCATCTCAAAGGCTCATCTTTGCCGACGGTGACAGATGGCTCCTTTCTGTTGGCCGTGGCATGTGGGCAGCATGCGTGAGGAGCCGGCTATGGGATTAGGATGGAGTAGTGCCGAGCTGTTCTATTCTCTGGACACGTGTCAAATTTGGCCCCGTGAAAGTGACACCATTAGCGCTAGCCGCCCCCCCCCCACACCATCACAGACGGTCACTCACTCACGCTCCCAGTCTGTGTGTGTGTGTGTGAGCGCACGTCCGTCTGCGTCTGTGGGGCCTGCTGGATGGAAATGAGATAGAGAGATAGATTTACACACACAGAGTCTGGGAAGTGATGCTGTGATGTTTGGGTCATTGTGGTGTCTTGGTTTTGTGTCCCAGTGTTTAGAGAGTAGTAAAGCCTTTAGTGTGGGCATTGATCATTATGACTGGCCTATGTGCTACGAGCATGGTCTCTCCACCTCCGTTGGCAATGCACTTCAACTACAAAACTCTACAACGTCCATATGGTAGCCTATCTGTTCAATGCTGTTATGAATATCATCTATCACTGGCTAGCACATTCTGTTACAGCTAACAAATGTCCCAGCATCCATGATACACAATACACTCTTCATCTAATGTATACAATTCCACTTAACCATGACAAGCATCATCTCCCTACGGAGACAGGCAGTGAAATTGTGCAAGGGGATGGATCACAGATTCAATCAGTTAGTGTAATGTAGAGCCTCCTCTGTGAGGGATACCCCTGGGGGCCTGAAAGGCCAATATGATATCTGCCCATTGATCAAGTGATATAAGCACTGTACTGGGCTGAGCTACAGGACGAGGTTGAGGCTACATCCCAAATGGTACCCTATTCCCTACACAGTAGTACACTGCTATTTGGGATGCAGACTGAGTCTCTTACCTACCTGGTCATACTTTGATGCCTTCAGGCTGTGGCTGGACAACTCAAGGATCAGGCAATTTTTATCCTGCAACGCATCCTGGAGCTGAGTCTTCTGTGGAGGGAAAGAGAGGAGGGGGGTGGAATAGATGCAGAAGAGAGAGAGAGACAGAGAGAGAGAGCGAGAGAAAGAGAGAGAGAGAGAGAGAGCGAGAGGGTGGGGGAGAAATAGATCATTAGTCTCAATGTGACAGTACCATTGAATGGTGATATCGGTGCATTGTAATAGTGTGTACAGGACAGCAATAGGCTACAATCAGCTACAATGCATGTTGTATAGTAACTCCACCTGCAAATGTGTAGTTATACAACAGAGAGACATTAGTCTCAGGTTGTCGTATCCTTGTGTGGGCCGAAGCGGTTTACCAGGACACAAAACCACTTTGTTATCTACAACAGTGGTTCTCAAACCTGGTCCTGGGGACCCAATGGGGTGCACATTTTTGTTTTATCCCTAGCACCACACCGCTGATTAAAAAATCAGGATCTGATGATTTGAATCAGGTGTGGAGAGCTAGGGCAAAAACTAAAATGGGTCCCCCTTTGGGTCCCCAGGACCAGGATGGAGAACCACTGATCTAGAAGACAAAATAGACAGCTGCACGTTTTCACCCTCTATTTGGTATGTGGCCAACACCATTAACAGTGCCACTTTGAGATCTCTAATGATCCAGGAGATGAATCAGCATATGATAGAGTAGTCATCCTCATGTTGATGATCAAATCTGCTCAATTGGTGTGTCCCAAATGACACCCTATTCCCTTCATAGTGCACTACTTTTGACCAAAGCTCTATGGGCCCTGGTCAAAATTACTGCACTACATAGGGAATGGGGTGCCATTTGTTACAAAGCAGTTGAGAGGCAGTCTTTCCTCTGCCAGATCTTGAGAGGATAATGCCAAATCTCACACAGTGAAAGAGGTGTGAAGTGACTCCTGCTTTAATACAATTATGTAACAGGCTTAAGTCCTGAACAGAGAGACCAGAGAGAGAGAGCAGAGAAAGGAGAGAGAGAGAGAGAGAGAGAGAGAGAGAGAGAGAGAGAGAGAGTAGAGAGAAGATAAGAGAGAGAGGAGAGAGAGAGAAATGATAGATAGAGAAGAGAGAGAGATAATAGTTAGAGATATATCAGAGAGAGAGTCCAGACTGACGCTAGCTCATCGCTCGCTGTCTCTCTCTCTCTCTCGATGAGAGCAGAAGTAGAGACGAGCGAAGATGTCCCCATAGAGCAGAGAGACCGAGGAGAGAGAGAGATAGCGAGAGAAAGCAAGAGAGAGTGCTGTGAGGGTGGATGCTAGCTCTAGACCCAGGGTGGAAGGAGGATTTGTGGGGACGGTAAAGCCTCAGCATGCTCCCTATCATCAAATCGTCTGCACATATGGAGGGACTCAATAAACAACAGACTGCCACTGTGAGTGAGTAAGTGTGTGTGTGAGTGCGTGCATGGGTGCGTGCATGTATGTGTGTGCGCCTGAGACTATGTGTAGGTGTTAAGGTGCCACACAGAGCGGTGTGTATGGGGGGTGCATTCCTAATCTGATTGTGTAACACATTCTCCCCATCCCTTCCTCTCTCCCTGCAGTGTAATCTACTGTACTGTACCACTCACTGGCTGTGGAGACACCTCTTCAGTGTAATCTACTGTACTGTACCACTCACTGGCTGTGGAGACACCTCTTCAGTGTAATCTACTGTACTGTACCACTCACTGGCTGTGGAGACACCTCTTCAGTGTAATCTACTGTACTGTACCACTCACTGGCTGTGGAGACACCTCTTCAGTGTAATCTACTGTACTGTACCACTCACTGGCTGTGGAGACACCTCTTCAGTGTAATCTACTGTACTGTACCACTCACTGGCTGTGGAGACACCTCTCCTACATGGCTAATCCTGATGTTAGTGCACTTCAGGTGCCAGATCCACTTTGTGCCTCAGACCTGAGAGGACTGGACACGGCCTCTGTGTCAACACCACTGTTTGTCACACACACAGACACAATTGAGGGGGGAGAGAGAAGAGAGGGAGGGAGGAGTGATAGAAAGAGATAAAGACAGAGAGAGAAAGAGAGAGCGAGAGAGGCAGGCCTGACCCCCCTCACATGGGTATGACTGGGTACACTGGCAGGCAGTGACGTCTCCTCCTCCTAAGAGTCAGAGATTCACACTGATCCCGCTACCTGTAACACAACCCTCTATTCCTAACCTCGTGAAGAGTTGGATTGCTTATTTAATCCTTTGATGTGTACAGATTGCATGCTGTTGTTGAACATTCTATGGATACTTCAAACTTGCTGTGAAATTCCAAAAATAGAACACTGACAAAATGCAGTAAAACTCACCCCACGAAGGGTTAACAAATGAAGACACATGGTTAAAAAAAACTGCAAGTGGTGCTGAAAAGCATAGATTTCCAGTAAGGACTGGTGCTCAGCTGTAGAGATATATATTTTTCATTTAATTGTTTTAGCTCTTATCCAGAGCGACTTACAGTTAGTGAGTGCATACATTTTCATACTGGCCCCCCGTGGAAATCGCTTGCAACCCTGGCGTTGCAAGCGCCATGCTCTACCAACTGAGCTACACGGGACCTACAACACAGACAGGCAGTGTCTGTGTGTCTGAAATCCATATTTGCGTGCCTGCCTGCTGGGTCGAGGGTGGACAGACCAGCAGAGAGAGAGCCCTCAACACTCCCAGTGACTAATTCACACTGACAGCTCCGGCTGATTTTCCCCCGCACCCCCATCATCATCCCAACCTCTGTTCTCCCCTCCCCCCCCCCCCCCCCCCCCCCCCTCTCACGCTCTCTGTGCTTTTCACAAGGTGGTTGCTTTGACAGCTCTTCTCCTTGCCTACAGCCACAGAATGCAGAGAGAGTATTGACGAATACAAAAAAAAACGTGTCCCTTCAGCCTGTCAAGGTAACATCACTGATTTGACTAGGCATCCTTATTTCAACACCAAACCCACCAATGGTGTGCGTGGCCAAAGAGCTCTATTTTCATGTCATCCAACAAATGTAAACGCCTGGAGTTTGCAAAACTGCATCGGCACTTGGATTGGAACCGGTGCTATGGTCAGATGACATGAAAATAGAGCTCTTTGACCACACAGAGCAGTGGGTGGGTTTGGCGTCGAAACAAGGATAGATACAGTATGCAGAAAATAACCCCATACCTACTGTCAAATATGGTGGTGGATCTTTGATGTAATGGGGCTATTTTGCTTCCACTGGTCCTGGGGCCCTTGTTAATTAAGGTCAACGGCATCATGAAATGTATCCAGTACAAGGACATTTTAGCCAATAACCTGGTTGCCTCTGCCAGGAGGCTGAAACTTGGCCCCAAGTCAGATCTTCCAGCAAGACAAAAAACCCAAGCACCAGTGATGGGGAGTAGTGAACTACATGTAGTTCAACTAGTCATTGAATTACATTTTGCTGTATCTTTGTGGTAGTTGAATTAAATTGAAATCTTGGTAGTATTTTCAGTAGTTCATTACTTTTTTGCCATGTAGTGGTGTAGCTAACTGCTGGAACTACACACTGCTTTTTTGGGGAAAAAAGAACAGCAAATATGGGTAAAGTAGGCAAGATTTCTCTCTTTTTTAGCATCAGACCTGCCTAATTCTCACTTCAAACATAGTTTTTGTGTTTAATAGGCTAAATTACACATTATGTTAACATTTGACTCCCGAGGGATCTATTCTTGCAATTTGAAGTCTATGACATTTCATAATTTTTGGATTTAGTTTTGGATGTAGTTTGGATGTAGTGAACTACTTTTTCAAAGTAACTTTAGTTAAGTAAACGAGATGTGTCTTAAGGGTAGCTTTAGCATAGCTTCACTTCTTCCAGTGTGAAGTAATTGGTAGCTTGGTAAACTATATATTTCAGAGTAGCTTCCCCAGCTTTGCCAAGCACACATCAAAGTCCACAAAGAAATTGTTATAATCAACATTTTCCAATGGCCATATCAGTCTCCGGACTTGAAAACAATTGAAAACCTGTGGTTTGAACTGAAGAGGGCAGTCCATAAGCACAGACGAAGGATATCAAAGATCTGGAAAGATTCTGTATGGAGGAATGGTCTAAGATCCCTCCTAATGTGTTCTCCAATCTCATAACATATTGTAGGATTTTTTTTTAGGTGAGGTATTGAAAACAGGGGAGCCAATCGTATTGACCCCTATCTTTTGGAGAGAAAAAATATATTACTTTATCTGAGCAATTGTTCTGGACCTGACTGTATAAGGGACTGTCCAAATAAAGTATAACCAGTCTCTCTTTGAAGTCCTTAGTCAATGTCTAAATCACACGGAGAGAAGCACATCTATGCATGTCCTGAGCACTGTCTCTCTCTCTCTTCCATCTACTCTCTCTCTCTTTTTGTGTGTGCTTT